TTTTTCCTGTAAGCGTCGATGCGAGAGGTTTTGACGTGGAAAAACAAGCCGTAAATTGAAAGCCTTTTGATCGATCGCCTTTGTTTGGGAAAACAATGCGTCTGCAAATTTCTCGCTTGTTTTGCGATTCGATTGTAAAAGAAGAGCGTGATAAAAATGGTTGATGAATGATTCGAAACCCTGTAATAGTTTTGTTTTCCATCCTGAGTAGAATTATTTGTGGCGCGAACTGGTTCATGTAGCCAATACGCATCGTTTCTTGGCAACGAAACTGAAAAAAAAAAAAAACGCGATTTTCGAATTGCTGAAAATAATTCTCATTATTAAGATTGTGAAAATTTTATTTTATGATTATAAAGATCTTATTCACTGGCTTCCATAATTTAGTGAAAAGGAATTGTGAGTTATAGAGATACTGTGCTGCAGAAATGTTGTGTGATTGTAAATTTTTATTTTTTAAAGGTAACGATATTCAGATAGAAATTCATTTTTGTCGTGAAACAGTATAATAATTACTGTGTGTATTCTCTGCATTTTAATATCTTTAAGCTAATAAATAATAAAATAAATAATAATAAATAAAAAATAATAAAATAAATAATAATAAATAAAAAATAATAAAATAAATAGTAAATGAAGAATAATAAAATAAATAATAATAAATAAAATATAATAAAATAAAAAATAATAAATAATAATAAATAAAAACAATAAAATAATAATAAATAAAATAAATAATAATAATAATAAATAATAAAATTAGTATATAAAAAATTAAAATTAAAAATACACAACATAGAAACATTTCATCAAAACTAAAAATATTTGTGATTGAAAATTATTGAAATGGAAAATTATTTAAACATCCTCTAATAAAGACATTTTTCAAGATATCTTTTTTCTGAATACTCGTTCTTCCACCACGTTACCCTATAATTATTTTTATACGTAGTAATGAGAATTCAATTTATGCATAAAGAAAAAGATAAATTTCCATTTTTTACAAATCATTGCACTTGTAAAAAAAGAAAAAGGTACGGTCATCGGTAAATAATCCACTTTATCAATCATTCACCTTTCTGCTCTAACATTTTTATAGTGCGACTCATTCTGTTGACAAGAAAATCCAGAGAACCAGAGGAGATTCAAAAATTGATAAAAAACGAAAGAATGAAATTAAAGAGTAGAATGAAAAAAAAAAAAGAGTAGAAACGAAACGATTTTTGACGACGAGAAGAGAGAAGAAATGGTCGAATAGGGTAGGATTCCAATTAGGATTCCGCGGTGTGTAATAAAAATGCCGCCGAGCTTTATTGCATTTCGACCGTGATGGAAAAAAAAAAAAAAAAAAAAAAAAAGAAAAAAAAATACAAAGAGAACGCAACGCCTACGAAAAGAATTGAAGAACTTTCCATCGAGCCTTTCTCCTCGTCTATCAATTTACAAGTGTAATCGCAAGTGTGGGATCTGGTTCCATCGATAATTGAACCTCGCAATTTTTCTTCTCTCGCCTTTCGCTTTTTCAACGAAGGATAAGGCAACATTCGATCTGCGAGTCTACCTGTTTCGATTTAATCTTTTTAATTAATCTTCGAAACACTCGTACAGTCGGTTACGAGAGTCTGTACTAGTCTGTAGTCACGAAAGTATTCACATTGGCAAATTTCTAATATTTCGAGTGAAAAAGGAAATTTTATAGACATTGAGATTTATCTGTTCGTTAATTTTGTACAAATTCTGGACAAATGACGATTTGCTTGCAGAGGATACGTGAATAATTCGGAAGAAAGGATATGGAATCATTATAAGTACATTGAAGCATATAAAATGTTATTCTAATATTCTAATTATAATAAAAGTAAATTGTAACAAAGTTACTTTTATTTAAGTTGATAAAATTAATTATAATAAAAGTAAAAAGTATTTTATTATAATATTCTAATTATGAAAGTAAATTGTAATAAAGTTACTTTCATTTAAATTAATAAAAGTAAAAAATATTTTATTATAATATTCTAGTTATAATGAAAGTAAGTTGTAATAAAGTTACTTTTATTTAAGTTAATAAAATTAATTATAAAAGTAAAAAGTATTTTGTTATAATATTCTAATTATAATAAAAATAAAAAGTATTTTATTATAATATTCTAATTATAATAAAAGTAAAAAGTATTTTATTATAATATTTTACTTATAATAAAAGTAAAAAATATTTTATTCTAATATTCTAATTATAATAAAAGTAAATTGTAACAAAGTTACTTTTATTTAACTTGATAAAGTTAATTATAATGAAAGTAAAAAGTATTTTATTATAATATTTTAATTATAATAAAAGTAAATTGTAATGAAGTTACTTTCATTTAAATTAATAAAATTAATTATAATAAAAGTAAAAAGTATTTTATTATAATATTCTAATTGTAATAAAAGTAAATTGTAATAAAATTACTTTTATTTAGGTTAATAAAATTATTTATAATAAAAATAAATTGTAATAAAATTGCTTTTATTTAAGCTAATAAAAGTAATTATAATAAAATCCTATTTCATTGAATTTTAAATTTAAATGTTAAGGTTTGACGACAAAATTCGACAAAAATTCGAGAAATTTTATTGAATATTTTCTTCCTATAATCCTAATTTTCAGTGTTCGATAAAATGACGAAGAAAAATCGTACAGAAAAGTTGTAACACAGAAGACTTTAATCTTTAATTTTTCTTGAGGAAAGATTCAAGTTTAAAATTAAAGTTTAATAAAATAAATTTAAATGAAATTAAGTTGAAAATTTAAGTTTTAGCTTTATTTTAAGAGACAATTATTTTCATTGAACCGAACGATTCAGAATATCGATGATTCTCCACTGGAGCTTGATCAAAACAATTTCGTGCGCCAGTGTACAGTCACCACATACAGTTTGATTAGCGTAGGTTCATGTCAGAACCACAGACAACTGATTAATTATTAGTTTACAAGGCCAGCCCGATCGATGATACATCGAATTTATTTATACCCATGGTTGATTAAACAACGAACGCGGTGGGGCAAAATCGTGGGAACATCAATCGCACGCAAATTAGTGGGAATTTTCAATGGCGTTTGCGGTCGGGTCGATTGTCTATATTAATGTTGGCAACCGGGTGAAATTTTACGAGGACGAGCACCGATACAGGATTTCGTGAACCGGTGCACGATGCGATTCGAATCACGATCTGTTTCGTGCGACTTGTCGATGTTTTATTAATTAATCCAAAGTTCGGGCTCTCTCCACCCCTTTGTTCGTTTGTTCTTCGTTAATTTCCAACGTAATTCAGGATGTAATATTTACCGATTAAAGTTTTAATTGCAACATTTCCTCAGTTTCAAGTATAACCCAGGCAAAAAACATCAATATATATATAATCAATTTATTACTTGTCAGTAATTTCAATCCAGTGATGCCATGGCGACGAGTTGGAAAAGAAAGCGACGTGTTATTGTATACGGTTCGGTCACTCGTTATGGTCCGCAATCAATTGCCAGCGCAAATAAGATATATATATATATATATATATATATATATATTTATTTATTTATTATATTTATATATATTATTTATTATATTTATATATATATATTTATTTATTATTTATTTATTTATTTATTATATTTATATATATATATTTATTTATATTTATTTATTATATATATTTATATATTTGTTATATTTATTATTATATTTATTATATATATATAAATATATATATATTATATATATATTTATTATTTATTATATACATAGATCATTTATTTTCGAGATAATTAAAATTATTAAAATATTAAATTAATTAACCCCAATACAAAAGGTACAAAATAAATTTTACTTATTTATTTATGATTTAGTTGTTCACTGAAAGCCAGATTTTGATAATTCTCCAACTTTCATGAGAAATCTCCTCGGTTTTGATTGCACAGTCAAATCTCCAGAATCTCTGGGCACTCATTTGGCTTCGTTGCTGTTGGAAGCGGAACACAGAGTTCAAGAACTCGGCGGGAGCACTTCCGGCAGCGGCGGGACTACCCTCCTGGAACCACCGAGCAGTCATAGATCAAGTTTTTCGTCGCAGCACAACAATCTGACGGGATGCGGCGGTAATAACGAGGACAAGCAACTCGCTCTGTGGGAAAGAAGAGCTAGAGCGCTTAGAAAAATGTTGCTTGGATTCGATCAAGCGAGTAAGTCATCCTTAAAAATAGTTATTTGCATTAATATTCACATGTTGTTACAATTTCGTAAAACAAGAGACCTAGGTTCATTTAGAAGCCTCTACTTTCAAAACGTGCTGTTCATTTTATTCCAAAAATGTTTATGGAAAAAAGTGAAAATGCTACAAGTTGTGTCATAGTGTAGTAAAGTTTTTTCATGATTTTTTTCCTGTCGTTTTACCGAATTTTGAATATCAGGGAACAACTAAAGTATACCGGACTTACTGCCTAAAACCCTGGAAAATTTTTAAATAGAATTGACAGTGCTGATCTCTTTCAGGGCCGCCAGACATGCCGTTTTTGGTCGCAGTGGACGTGACGGGGACAAATTCTGTAACAGTGAGGTTTCAAGAGCCAGATTCCCACGACTCTCCTATCTGCACGAAATTTAAAGTTCAATGGAGCGTCAAGGAAGATTTCTCAGTGATCTGCGGCGAGAGGGAGGTCCTAGATATGAAACAGAGGGAGTGCAGGATCGATGATCTGATTCAGGGACAGAAGTATTACTTTTGCGCGGCTGCTGGCAATTTGAAAGGCTACAGCAGATTCAGGAACTCGACTCCTGCCCATGTAACACCCAGCAGTACGATCATTTTTTTGTTTCTTTTGTAAAATATACATTGCAAAAAAAAGAGAGAGAGAGAGAGAATTGTTAGATTATTGTAGATGAAGCAGCCAAATTCTTAATTAAAGTTTTAACGTTTACAGATTACTTGATAATTATGTTGATCAAATTTCGACTCGTCAAATTTGGTACACTTTAATGGAACGTTTCTTTCAATATTTTATATTTGTCCCATCTGTTTTTGAGCTAAATTCTTATAATTTTAACAAAAAAAAAAAAAAAAACAAAATAGTAATGGGTTTGTCGTATGTTACTAAGAGAATATTTTCTTATAGACCTACGCACACAAGATCTCTGCACATATCATTGTTTTTAAAAAACAGAAAAAAATCTAGAGCTATCCTATCATTTCTTTCTGTCTTTCTGTCTATACTTTTGCATATTGTGTTCTCATTTTTACATTTTCAAATTTTCTACAAATAAACAAAAATTCGCAGCCTGGTAAATGGCAATTCTTACAATTAAAATCTTTACTTGATCATTGTTAATAACTAAACTGCAGATTTTATATATTTATGGAAAATTGAGAGTGACATATAACATACAAAAATACTTATATAAAATATCCAAAATGAAGTGTATTATAATATATAGTAGATAAAACAAATTTTTTTAGGCTCTGTTTCTTCAGTGATATTATTCATAAAAATGCATAAATTCTGTATTCTATTTAATAAATATTTTCGATATTTGTATTTTCTAATTCTAAATTCACACGAGTGACAAGTTGTCTGTTCTTTTCAAAAATCTGTATTACTGTTACGAGCAATATTTACTTTTTGTTAAATTGAAATTTCAAGTGGAACATATGATTCGTTTTAATACATTGTACTTTTATTGTGGCATAACATTTTAAAGTAAATATTCTGCCATATAGATGAAATATTTAAATTTCAGGTGGTAGTTAATATATTAAAAATATTTTAAATCCTGAATGATTTTACACGCTTGTGATTTCAGCCATTTTCTAATATCTCTCTAGGACAGGCAAAGAAGTATAAGCCAAAATTGTTGGTTTTGCAAAAATACGCTTACAATAATTAAATTTAAAGCGCAATATTAGATTTTGGACGCAAACGTTGGTAATTGGATTGCGGATTTTTAATTTTATTTTTTAAACATAATTAAAGAAGTAGCATTTAAGAAAATTGTTTCTTTTGTATATTACTATAGTCAGTACTCTTCTTTGGATATTTTATCTGTATTATGTTCACTTTGCACCCTTTCAAATTTTCCACAAGTGCATGAAAATTTGCAGTCTAATGATAACATTCTATTGTAAATACGCATCATTTTTTTTTAAGAATGAGGATTTATTCTTTTACTCCTTTCATTCAAGAAACAATGAAATAATCAAAAGCACAAGTTAAAACCTAATAGAAATAGAATACATGCAGATTATTTCTGCGACCATTATACACTGAATTTAAAAATCCTTCCTATATAAAAGAAAACGTGACTTATTCTGCTTTATATGTGTAACACTGGGAAATATAGAAGGAAATCCATCTCTAATCCCATCCATATTTAGCTCACGTCCGGACTTCGCTCGATCGCATTCGAATCGAGTTAAGTTTAGAATCTGCATTGCACATGTGCCGATCGTTAGGTCTGATTCGGTTTATCGGAGCTGTCGTGAAAATCGAAGTGAAGACACGTATCCGTTGTTGTTTCCAGGCTGGAGAGACATCGATGGCAGAGTGCCAAGGTTTGCCGGCCGATTGGAGCAGTTGAATACTTTATTCACGGACATAAGGCGACCAGAGTACACTCAAGAGACGCCAGCCGTGCAGAGGCGTAATCACAAGAAGAAGACAACGATAAAGCAGCTCTTCACGGCCACCAGCAAGTTTCAGAAGAATTTGAGGCGCGGCGTGTTTCTTGCTTGTCTATTGTACCACGAGGATAAAATATTGGTAACGAACGAGGATTTCTTGCCTGTGATCGAAGTCGACGAGACTTACCCTAGTTGTATTTACAACGACTTCCATTGGCTTATGAAAGTGGGCTGCACTTGGGACGATGTTAAAACTCTTCGGCAAGATATGGAGAAGAGTCACAGCAGCTCGACCAATCACTTCAGGATAAAACTTTTACAGGCTGCTGCGCAGATGCAGGTTTGTTTTTCACACAATATAAAAGTTATTGTTGCAAGTGTTGAATTACAAAAATGGTCAGAATGACTTTTTGTGGAAAGTCTTCTAGATTTCTAAAAAACATTTTTTCAACCCTTTGTCTCTGGAATTAAGTTATGTAAGATATTTTTATATTAGATGACTTTTGACGTATTTTACATTTAACATGTAAAAAGAAAGAGGAAAAGAAATTTGCTGATAATTTTGATGTAAAGTAGAGTTTATTTTTCGAATATCTTAATATTCGAACGTTATATCACTGGAATAGAATATCTGTTAATAGCAGATGATCTTTTAGTTACTAGTAGTTCTATTCTCTAATATAATTTGTATATTAAGACAAAAAGAATAGAAAAACTACGCTGTATTTTTGAATAGTGTAGATCCACAAATATTCATTGTGCCTTTTTGTCTTATGTCTTTTTGAGTACCTTTTGAAATTATCACAGTGATATAAGTGTTTATCACAGAAATAATTGATTGAGTAATTTTTGAAACAAAAATTCATGAATAATTATTGGTGCTTGCAGGCAGCACTGTGTATACAAGACCTTGGTCAACTGTACCATAAACCCATCAGAGACGTTCAAGGCACCATGGTTTTCTCCACGGTGAATTACATAAAATTCCCAAAGTCAATCTCGGTGCTGAACAGCAGATGGTTGCCGCTTAGCAAAGTCACGAAAAAAGTCATCACTCATGAAGATAGTAACGTGGCGGATATTTTAATTGCCAGTATACAGGAACAGATGACCTATCATCAAGTCAGCAGTATCAAACTGTCAAAGGGACTTTATCTTGGTTATTTGAAGATGCAAAGTAGCGTTGATCTTATACAAGTCGTGGTACCCGCAAAATCGCCTAATGTTTTGCCTCATTGCAAGATTCGTGACAATCCGCACGTTTCTGCGTAAGTATTGAATAATTTTATTATATTGAAAATATAATACTGTCTTCATTCATACAGATTCATATAGATGAATAAAAATTTACAACGCGGATACTAAGAGTGTTGATAATCTATCAAACGTTATATTCTTTATCATATTGAATTTACACTATTTTCAAGTATATTTATTCATTGTTCTTGTCAAATAAATCTGTTTCTAAAATTTTAAAAATATAATATAGTACATATATATTCAATAATTATCAGTAGTGTGAATTGTAAAATTTATTGAAATAATAATAGAGATATTATAATATGTCTTCTTGCATGTTAATTTTTGTACAATCTGTTTTATATCCTCAGAATATATTTTTTATCCAAAAGCTTTTTTCAATTTTTTTGTGACCAGTTTTAAACTTATCAATCTACTCATACACACTAGATTGTCTCTTCAGATAGTAAAAACTGAATAACAGCCTACTGCTTTTTTTTTTTTTTGTCCAAACGTAAAATGTCCAGCCAATGATATTGTCATGATAAAGAAAGAAAACTAAACTACCTTGCTACAAGCAGTACTGTTATAATGATACTGAAGTATTTATACAAAACTAATATATAACAAAAAAACTATCAATTATTGAATTAATTTTGTACCTTCAGATTATATTACTCTATTAATCTATTCTGAAGTGTATTTACTTATCGTTCTTGTCAGATATAATTCTGTTTTCTAAAAATATGATATATCTTCTTACTGTATTTTATTAATCTTTGTTATTCCTGCTATAGTGAAGAGTGGGATTATCTGAAAAGGATAACGCGCATTCATGCATCAGACGCGTCGGTCAAAGATTGCGAAGAAAAGGAGAACGTAACAAACGAGTCCCAAGGTACAGAACAGCAGAAATTGTTCGTCGATCTGGTTGCTGCTACAGCGAGGCGACTGTTCAATTACATGGAGATCAGTCCTGAAGATTCTTTATTGCATCGACTCTACGACGCCGAAGTTATCGATCTGACTCACGACGTGTCCTTTCTAATTGCTGTGCCTCCAGCAGAAACCGCCTGTTGCGTACCTGGAACCAGAGAGATCCTTCTTCAACGTGGTGACCTCCTGTCCTTGCCTATCCAAGTGTTCGAGATGGTCCACTTGAACACCTATCAGAAAGATGTGATTAACAGATACTCAAGATTAAGTTGCATCCTGGAACTCGACACAGCGCAAGCTCAATATAATCATAGAGAAGCGTTCAGTTCTCTGGAGTTAAGCGTGGCGAAGGATAAGTTAGCCAGGCTGCAGGATCTTCAGACTCAAGTGAACACCGTATGGAAAGGAGCCAGGTGGCTCATCGATGTGATCACGTTCGCTAGAGATCGTGGGTCTTCCCAGCAGAGCGTAAGTTAATCTAAATTCGTGTAAAACAAGCTTGGGCGTTATCTGAATGAAATGTTTCTACAAACAATTTTTTAAATAATTTTATTACGCAAGCCAATTATACCTTATGCTGAGGTGATTTATTATTTTTAAACTGTGAATGTTTCTACATTTTTGCGAAATTTAAAATTTCAAAAATCTGCAGCCAAGCATCATGTGCAATAATGTATAAAATACATAAAGTACTAGTGGATGAAACAAATTTCTGTTTCTCTGTGAATATACAAAATTACTGTCCATCATAATAAATTAACTTGAATGAAAGATTTATTTAATTTGAAATTACTTTTCCAAATCGTTATCATTTCTAAGATAAAAGTAATAAATTAATAGAAATGATTCTTATCTGTATTTCAAACAAAATTTGCCCAAACTTGATGTATTGATTCTTCAGAGTCTCGCCGTTCCATAATAGTGCTGTGATAATTAAATCAAACAATTCTATAATTTCCAATTGCAGAGTTCGTCACAGACAGTCGGAATTTCCATGAAACACTTGCTCAGTCTTGATCGGAACAGAAGCAACAGCAATAGCAACAGCCTGAAGAGAAGTTTGCTGCAGTTACCGCCGCGCGATCCAAAGCTGGTGAAATCTAGTCCAGGTCGAGGTAGCTGGCCAGGGCCTAACGTATCTAATTCCTCCTCGAATCTACTCACCACCGAGTTCAGCAAAAGCGAACAGCAATTACCTAGCGGCCAGTATATTCGCAAGGGCAGCAACACCTCGAACGTATCGACCGGCTCAGAGCCCCCAAAGTCTTCTGTGCCCATGAGCAGCACCAGCAATCTGAGCAACACAGCCAGCGCTGGCAGCAACAACCATCTGGTACCATTGCAGAACACCAGGCTACCGCCATCCAAATCCGAGGACACTCTGATCCTAACGAAATACAAACATAGTCCCAGAAATAGATCAGCTACGATCACGTCCGCGTCGGCCAGCACCAGCCCGTTGCTCAGCATAAAGCCAATCATTTACGGTGGCTCGCTGTTGAGCGTGTCCACAGCCATGACGAACACGACGAGTTTGTTGAGCGTCAGCAACACCAATTCCGACAGTTTGCACTCGTTAAGCAGCGACGAGTATTCGACGCCCAACTCGAGCGTCTGCATAAAGAGTGGGCTCGCGAAGAGCAAGTCGAGCAAGCCGACCGCTACCGTCGCGGCCACAGCAACCGGTTCGTTGGAGAGTCAATTGGAGGAGGAGAAGGACGAGGCAACGATGATGCCGGCTCCTCTACCTGGCATTCTTCAGGTAACACTTGTAACACACACCTCACGTGTCACAATTTATCAAGTAGAGATTGGGACTTGTGTGAGGTCAGTAGACGAAATGACAGGATTGGGACCCTGTTGATAGTTGAGTTGATTGTGATAGAAATCATCACGGAGGATTGTTTCGCTGATAAGAGTTATTAGTTGCGACACGGCCGTTGCCTCATTCTCAAGATCACGGCATGTCACAATTACAAGCGGCGAGAGTAATAATCTTGGGGACAGCTAGTACAAATTTGTCACGGTCTCTTCCCATTAGCCGAACGATTATCTCTTATGCAAGCTTCCTTAGTTAGAGTATACGCTTATACCAATCCTGAGCCGCAGAAGCTTATTATTATCATCCGGAGGACCGCTCATTGAGTTTAAATAATATTTTTCCTTGTAGGGAACACAAGTCTAACCCGATTGTAGTTAAAAACAGCTCACTTGGTCTTCTAGTGCAGACCGATGTAGCAGACATATGAGTAAGCCCCGTCACACACCGTTAAGTTTCAGTGCTTGTTTCGCTCAGATGCGCTTTCCCAATTACGCTTTTCTTGTAATCATTGAGCATGAAATTTCGTCCGAGCTTTTTCAGTTCACTTGATACAATTATTTCCATGTCTAATCCGAGTATAACTGTCTGAAAGTAAATAAAAAAAAAAAATCTGAATGCGTGTTGCATATATATCCATGTTATTTTATAAATCGCTACACTACCATTGGGTGAGCAATCTTTTCTCTTTCTTTCTTTCTTTCTTTTTTTCTTTCTTTCTTTCTTTCTTTCTTTCTTTCTTTCTTTCTTTCTTTCTTTCTTTCTTTTTTTCTTCAATCTCCTTTCCTGTTTATTCTTAACACTACTAACTTCTTAATTTTAACTGTTCGTTAACAACAGCCAGATGCATCGAGCAACGTGCTGTCACTGCGCTGCCACGTATAAATGTCACTGCAGATAATTTGTATTTGTGCAGATTGCCCAATGAATTCTCGTCTGACCAGAGATCCGGTGTTCTTGCAGGTATACGCGGCCTACGAAACCGGCCTGGCTTCCGGCACCAGCCTGAAATTACACGTCACCCCAAGGACCACGGCCAGAGAAGTTGTGAACCTGGTTGTGAAGCAGCTGAACATGGCGGTGGTTTTAAAGGGCCAGGAGGGGCCCATTTACACAGCCGACGAGCTGCCGAACTTCTGCCTGGTAGCGGTGATCGGTGCCAGGGAGCGTTGCCTGAGGGATGACTTCAAGCTGCTGCAGCTTCAGAATCCGTGGAAGAAGGGCAGATTGTACGTGAGGCAGAAGCAAGACGTCCTTGCAGCCCTTGAACACAGCAGCAAACACACCGCGTATTTATAGCATAAGTAACGAAAACGAAGGAGAGAAGATTGTGATTAGAACGGACATCGGGGAAGAGGGAACGTGTCTCAGAGCGATTCACGATGTCTAAACCAATGTAACGAACGCTTTACGTCTCGTTAATAATTGGCGATAGAAGCCAAAGATCACTTAGTTGAATGCGTTCTGTGTCTCATGGTAATTCGACGTCAGTTAGATAAGACGCAGTAGATACTCTTCCGTATTGTATTCTCCTGTTTTCTCTTGTTCAATTTAGTACAGGACAAAGGACGTAGATTGCCGGTGAACCTCGCGAGACGCAGAATGCACTCGGTTGTACATAAAATAAACGCTTGGCTACACGATGAGACGTTTTTTAGTTATACCTCTCGAGGCTCTAAGTAAATTATGTGTAATTAGGTAGGGGAATGATAGGGAAGATACGACGATCGTCTGTAACGACGGGAATGTTTAAGTTGCTTGCGTTCCAGACGACCCAGAAAATACATTCCAAATGAGTTTTCGAATCCGGCTGCTGTAATTTCTCGCCGAGGCAGTGTCGCAAAGAATTGGATAATACTCATGGTATATTATATATTGTTATATTTTAGGTACTGATCTCAGTGTTTTACTCGATATAAACGCATCACACCGATATAATAAATGCGCCAAATGCTTAAGAAATTTCATTGTTGTCCTCATTGTATTCGACGTGTACAAGCTACCATATGTCATTTCTTATTTTTACTCTAGAGTTTTCCTTTTGTCCTCTCGGATAGGATCTGATTTCTTGTACACGTCGAATGAACTGACAGCAACAACGTTCGCAGATAGAAGAAATTTTGTAATTATATTTTTTAAATTCGTCTAACCGCTCAAGGATTTATTTCAAGCAAGTTTCGCTTGGCCGAGTCTTTGTCAACAGACTTCAGTGAGGTACACAACTCTCGAAAACGATTTCTTCTCTGTAATTCGGATTTAATTTCATCTGTTAACGTTATTGTTAACCTTTTTATCAATGTGAGAATTTTTTTTTTTTTCTTTACCATCCACTTCTCATTTGTAAACAATGAGAACAGTGAAATGCGTCCTAAACATTAACTAAAAGAGAATCAACTCAAAGTTATTAGAAGATGGCGAGTAGAGCAGATTATGATTATATGTAAAATTAAAACATAGAAGAAGCGTGATCCAGATAAAAGAGGCTTATAGACTGTTGCGTAGAAATAAAAGAGTATTATTACGGTTGTTAAGGTTTTTTTTTTCTTCTTCTTCTTCTTCTCACAAGATCACGATTATTTTATTACACATAATTATTCGTTCTTTCAAATTCACTTTCTGTTTTAAGACAGAGTTTGTTGAATGTTTCTGTCACCCAACAAGCATTGTATATTCACTTCTTTATTGGTATTTCGTAGGAGAAGAAGAACGTGTCGAGATTTCGAATTTATCGATGATCTTCGTTAGAATTCGAGGACTTCCTAATAAACGACCTAGACGACGCGTTGGTGATAAATATGGTGCAGAGAGGAAATATGTGTAATACACCCTAATACACACGATACCATTTTTCGATAGATGTTACACGTAGTTACAATGCAATGCTTCAATGATTCTGCTGAAATGATAATATCGTTTCTCTTCGTTTTCTTTCTTTTTAATCAATTTTTCCAATTATTAGGGATCTCTCAACTCTCGTTATATAATAAATAGCGTGAGAAATATTGTCATTGCTGTTCGATCCGTCCTTCATCTCTGATAAATGAAATTTTGAAAAAAAATTCAATTTGCTTGGCGTTTCAATGATTGAACCGTGGTATCGTGCGTCGAGGGTCCACCTAAGTTTAAACGAAGAAAATACAATGCAGATATTTTTTTATCGAGGAAACAAGAAAGAGAAGGAGGCAAGGGAAATGACGGAAAAGATTTTTACTATATTTTGCCGGAATGCGTACTCGTTCCACGCCGAGGAAAAATCTGTCTGCGTGTCGATATCAATGATGTGACAGACCGAGAGAAGGCAGTAGGTGAAAAATGGTGGAGAAGAATTTTAAAAGCGTTAGAAAATTTATTAGCTCTACCTGAGTATCTATCGATGTTGAGTGTAAAATAATCATTAGCAGTTAAGTGTTACCGTGGGAGGAAAACGAAGTTTAACACTCCAGAAGTCCTAGTTTTCCTCTCAGGCAGGAAAAAAGAAAAAAAGAAAAAAAAAAGTATAAGACGAAAGAACGAACTACTTGTAAATATTCAAAGAAATCTATGTATGTATAAAATATAAATGAGAATTATTGAAGAAGCTGAGGTCCGTTATTTTTGTCCAGATCAGAATTTCATTTTTTGAAGGGAGAATTTGCTTTCAGGAACGTCGACAAGAAATAATTTATGTGCAATCTATAGAATATTATACAATTATTATTTAATTTAATATATAATACGATTGGTTTCATCACACTTTCATATTTTCACTTTAATTTGCAGACCAAAGTGATTAACTCCATTTTTGTTTTTGAATTCTTGTGCTGTAACAGTTGTTTGGTAAAACTTAACTAAAGTAAATTTTCTTAATTATATTTAATGTTATTGTGGATAACTTTTTAAATTATGGAATAATTTCCAAGGACGTACCATGCAATTTCCTATGTCGTTGAGATGAAAGTAATACATTCTACAATTGAACTTGAATTTCATTAATTCGATTAATTCATCAATTTATTTCAATTTAGATTTATTTATTAAACGTTCTGTCGTTCAACCGTGACGACTTCAAAGTTCAACGAAACGGTTAAGAAAAGTCTGAAACTGAAGGAATTTCTCACTATTTTATCTGTCACGTGAAACAATTTATTCTTCCAATTACATTCTGGCAAATGTATAATGCAGAATCGAGAGTTCGAGCTCTCATTGTCAGATCTCGCCAATAATTTGACGGCTGCAGATAAAAATTGTTTTCGAAAAAAGTTCAAAACGAACGGTCCCGTTTGGTTCTCGATTATAAATGAAATTCGATTACACCGGAGATTTCATAGATTTTATTTCATTCGGCCGAGCCGCCGCGTAACTCGAGGCGAGATGAAATGAACCCGGACCCTCACGACCGAGAGTCCCGCTGACCCACTTCCGTCTTGTTTCTCGTCTCATCTCGTCTCGAGCCACCTACTCCTTATTTATCCCCCACCTGGGCGTAATTGTGCACTCTTGGTCTTCCGGCTAGTTCCCAAGAGGAGAATCTGTGGTAATGAAAAACTGCCGGGGCATCCCCTCCGAGGCATCGTGCCCCCTCGTAGGTCAGGCAACTCTTCTTCACGCCGACATCGATTTCCTGGCAATTTTTAATCATCGTCAGCATCACGAAATAACGTGCAAAAAAACTTTTGAAGATTAATATCGAATAATCGGGACGGCGAGTGTAAAATTACGTCGAGTTAAGTTCTTTAAATAATAATTAACGCTAGAACTACCAAAGTGGTAATTCGAAATGGCTAATTTATAATTTTCTATGGAGATTTCACATATTTACAGCAGTGTATTTTATACTCGAGTGACTTTTAATAAAATGTATCGATAGAAGCTTGTATCCTTTATAGTGAATTATTAACTTTTTCTAGTAACATTGAATTTCTTTGCTATAAATATTGTACATTTTCGTCGGTAGTTCTAGTGTTAATAGAATTATTTTTTTGTGCATTTGTGGAAAATTTGAAGATATTAAAATAATATGAAGAAATATACTATCTAAACTATACTACTTGTTATAATATTCGGTTAATATATTATATTGTTATGTTAACATGTAACATAACAATATATAACATATAATATTTAATTATTAATATAATTTGTTAATGCAATATATAATATTTAATTAATATTGTAATATCTGTGATATCTATTTTTAACAATCTTTTTTAAATATCTATAGTTTAATAATTATCTATTTAATTATTAATTGATAATTATTGAGTGTCACGCGAAATTTACACACTTCATCTGAAGGATGGAAAATATTTAATTTTCATAATCGGAGTGTGGATTTTTACGCATTTGCAAGAAATTTGGAAGTGCAGGTAACAGGAAAATTATATAAAATACCCAAAATATAATATTATAATATATAATAAATATAATATTATAATACATAATAAATATAATATAATATATTATAAATATAATATTAATACCATCTAACATTTTTAATTTTTTTTTTCAATTGTATTTAGAAAAATATGAATTTGAATTTAATTCTTACTTTACAGCATTATCTAGTTATTTATGTTATTCAAACTTTTTCTTTTTTTATCGATGATATGCATTTATATTTTAATTATTCCAACGTGTTATTATTCTGTAATTGACTCATTATGACTTAAAACTCGACAGGATTGACACGTCACTGGAAAATAAAGGCCTAGAAGATTATTAGCAAACATTGGGACACGAATATTCAAAATTAAATGCAAACACTTTCCAACATAATCGCGATATAAGCACAATAAATATTTTTTCCAACATTTCAATAATTATCAACAATTATCGCGAAAAGGGACTGAAAGTCCATAAAGCTATCTGTCCAACAAAGGATTGCAACTCGATTGTTCGTGACTAAGCGTGTAAATCATAAAACAAACGCAAATGAATACACCATGATTGGCCTGCCATTGTTTAAAATTGGATATTTTGAAACTTTCAATTTGCTCGCAGAGATGGCAGTCACGTATCGCAAGACAGATTCAAGAGGAACAAAAGGGATTTATTCGTTAATCACAGTCGCAATCGCTTCACGATAAAGAGCAACCGCTAGGTGACTCGAGCCGGAAGCTCAGTACCGTATGCACGCTATACTCGAGTTCACTGTTCGAGTCGAATCGCGTTCATAATCGCATTATTCACATCTTCGTCGATGCCTTTATTCACCGACTTTCTTCTCTCCGCCATTACGTACGAGATTGACTAACACTTTCAGAAGACACGTTAAACGTCCTGTGAAACGACGTTCCGATGATTAAAATAGATCTTAGAATGGTTTAACATAGTTCAATTTCGCTAGTCTCTTTAACATTTTCATTTGCATTTTTTTTTTAATAATAATAATAATAGATATGTTTTTAATAATAATAGATATATTTTCTATTGGAACAAAATATATAGTGTGTCCAAAGGGATGTTCCTAAAGAGTGAAAAAGTAAGTCGAAAATAGAGAATAAATTTCTTTTTTTTTTTCTTTTTTTTTGAGAGAGTCGAAAAGAGTTAGAAAATTTTATTAAACTTCAATGGAAAAGAATAGAATATTATAGCAGAAGATTAATCTAACGTGCAAAAATAAGTCGAGACTGTAGAATAAAATTTTCTCGTTTCAGAGAAATAAAAATTGCCTTGTGCTGGATTAAATTTTCAAATTGATAAAATTTTGTTGTCGCTTTTAACTTATCTTTTCGTGAATTTCTCATATCTGATCTGTAATATATTTTAATATACATATGTATCCGAAAATTCTGCTAACAGAATATTTAACATTCTTTTGTGTTTTAATATTATTTTATATTTATAAGTATTCGTTTATATTTAATAAATTATATTAAATTATAATAAATTTCTTATATTAAAATTCTATTTTACATCAACTATTAAATAATGCATGTTTGTTTTTCATAATTATAAAAAAGGATTTATCAAAACACGAGATAGAAGATTTTACTTATGAAACGTACAAAAGATTATGTTTATTATGTTGAATTCTATGATAAATCGATGTTTCGTTTATATAAATAAAGATGACATCTTTTTACACTCATAAAAGATCATTTGAAGCACAAAAAGAATATTTTTTGCTGAAGCAATTAGGTATTTCAACAGCCAGAAGAAAAGTATAAACATTCTAAACGTTAAAAAATAAATGTCGGAAGAAATTTAATATTAAATAAGTAGTATTTGAAAATTACAGTTTTGTCTTCCTACTTCTTCGAATATGTTCATATTATGCAAAAGAAGTTTTTTTGATATTCTTTTTTTTTTTTTATTTTATATTTTCTCCAAAATTCCTTTCGTTCGCTGAAATATTGAAACACGAATCATCCAGAATCCATGAAGAGATTTGCTTAATTTAACAAAATAACAAATACTGAGATTGACTGGTTTGATAATTATGTTTCAATAACTACAAATATGAAATTTTCAAATTTCACTTAATTTAATATAATATAATAATATAATAAAATAATAATAATAATATAATAATTTAATATAATATAATAATATAATAAAATAATAATAATAATATAATAATATAATAAAATAATAATAGTAATATAATAATTTAATATAATAAGCAGCCGTTGAAACGAAACAGAAATGTTTGAAGTAAAATCGAAGCAAACAGAAAATTAATTATTTGAATCGTCACAGACATTACAAGCCCCGAAAACTTTCAAGCATACGGAATTATATTTCCATGTTTCGCTTAATTGATTAAAATACAACAGATCGTTGAAACGGAGCAGAAACATCGGACAAACGAGAAATGAATTATTTTAATCGTCATAGTAGATATTATAAACGGCGATGTCGTTGAGAAAATGAAAACATTCAAGTTTCGCTTGATCGTCAGCAATCGAGACCAGAGCAGAAATATTGAAATCAGTAGAGAATTATTTTATCTTAATCACTGTGGAGAAATAAAAAGTAAGATCCACAAAATTTTCAAGTTTCGCGAAAACGGTGCAGAGGTGATTATTTTTTAATCGCTGTAGAGAAATAAAAAGGAAAATCCACAAAATTTTCAAGTTTTGCACCGCGAAAACGGAGATGATGATATTCGCGAACGGAGAAAAGAGAAGAAGAGGGGCAATAAATGTTAAATAATAAATGACAGAAGTTTGGGAAACTACGATGCTGCTGTAGTCCTGGCAAATTTGGTTTTGTGGGTGCATATACAGTTAATAGTCATTGTCGGGAGGACGGAATCATACGAGGCGATTGGTTGACCCGCAGTCCGGATTCGCCCTCGGCTGACCCCGTTGTTAACTGACCCACTGACGATATTGATAGCGGGATACCGCGGTGCTCGGTTCACATCGGTCTTTCGTTCGTTCTTTGCCACACTCTCGTCTCTGAGACCACGTTGAAAAAAATCACCTCGCAAATTTTTTTTTTTTTCGTCCCTCCTCTGAAGCCTAAACAATCATTTCGAAAAACAATCATTTCGAATTTCAAGGCTTGTTGTTATCTATGGCAAACACTTACTAACAAAAAAATTATCTGTACTAACTGGGATGGTATTTGAAAATCATTGACGTATCTTTCGTGTAAGAGGATTAAATTGAAATCGATGATTTTATTATTCTGTATATATCAAGCAAATGCAAATACTTGTACAGTATTTTGTAACTGCAGGATAAAAATAGTGAATCCTAGATTCTTCTTGCCACACTCTAATTTCCAATATTATCAAATTATATATACATATATTATATATACGCAATAAAATAATAATATAATATTTTATAAAATATAAAATAATATTTTGTTATATATTATATATATATATAATCACTAATTTTATTTCTCTGTATATTTCAAACAAATACAAATATTTGTACAGTATTTTATAATTAGAAGATTTCAAGTTAAATTAAAAATAGTGAATCCTAAATTCTTCTTGCTACACTCTAATTTTCAATATTATCAAATTATATATACATATATTATATATATGCAATAAAATAATAATATAATATTTTATAAATATTATAAAATATTGTAAAATATAAAATAATATTTTATTATATATTATATACATATATATATATATAATCACTAATTTTATTTCTCTGTATATTTCAAACAAATACAAATATTTGTACAATATTTTATAACTAGCAGATTTCAAGTTAAATTAAAAATATTGAATCCTAAATTCTTTTTGCGATACTCTAATTTCCAATATTATCAAATTATATATACATATACATATATTTTATAATATATATAATATATATATAATTAACATATTATTTTAAATTATATATATATGTATATATATATATATATATATTTAAATTGAAACAGTGACAGATCGATGATAACTGGAAGAAAAATGCGCGACGCTGTTCGAAAAGCAAACTTTCCTCGAAATATCGAATGCATAACCCATTTCGAACGCCAACTTTTTCCCCAACTGGTACATGAAACAATCCTCACCCTCCTGATATCTATTTTCAATAAAACCACGCGTTCGATACACGTGGAAAGTTGGCGAACGCAGCCCAGTTTCCTAACAATCTCGCGTCGCCTCTAATAAACCCGTGCCGAAGCTAGGAAGCGATAAAACCATCGACTCCCTGACGAAAATGCAGCGCACGACGCACGATCCGTGTTCGCGCGTCTTTCGATCGACGGATTACGACACGCCGCATTGTGCTTGGAATTGCCCCGGAGGCTGTCACGAGTGCCAGATTGCCGTAATAATTTGATTGATATTCGCTCTCCTCGCAGAAAACGCTCGGAAGATTGAGATAGAGAGCAGCCAGTCTCTGGGATATGTTGGCTCAGCTCCTTGCGCAGCGTCGATCACTGAAAGAAAGAAGGGAATTAGAATACGTGAACATAGGAGCGAGGGATCAGAAATGTTGGGAAAACGCGGGCCAATTTTTAGAAATAATGAGATTCGAGATCTCTCTTTTCTCGAAGATCGGAAATTTTAAGGAGAGAATCATTAAGGAGGAAGGTGCTTGTATCTTGTGAGAGAACTCGGGAGAATTGTTGAGAGAAAATTTTTGGAAATAACGAAAGACAGAAATTTTGTAGAAAGTCAGAAATTTCGAATTTCGAATATATTTTATAAGAAAACTTTCGAGATCAGACTCAGTGACAGGGAAATTTGTGAAAGTAATGAGGCTTGAGATTCATTAGACTGTCAGTAATAGGGAAACAGGGAAATTTGTGAAATGGGATTTGAACTAGCGGCCAGGAAATTTTTAGAAAACTAGTCTAAGAGGAACGAGAAAACTTAAGAGATTGGATTCTTAGGGGATCAGAGATATCGCGAGAATTTTTGGAAATAATGTGACTTGAATGAGCATAGATAAGAATTTTTTAGAAAATCAGAACATTCGAAAAGGAAATGCCAATGCAGGAGGAAGAGATAAAAGGAAATTTATAAAACTAGAATCTTAGGCAATCAGAAATTTTGGAAAGATAGAAAGATTATAATGAGATTTAAATGAACAGAAATTTTTAAAGATATTTGTCGTATTTTATACAAGTATAACAATATAGTACAATATAATAAAAAAAGAAAAATAATAATAATAATCTAATTTTCAAAATTAGTATAATATAATATAGTATTTCATAACAATATAGTATAATATAGTATATCAACAATATAGTATAATATAATAAAAAAAGAAAAAAAATAGTAATAATAATCTAATTTTCAAAATTAGAAGTATTAGGAATTTTTTTTTGGAAATAATTAAATTTAATTTCATAAGGGTTTATTGAATTTTAGGGAACAGCTCTTTTTATTTTATTCTATTTTCTTATTACACAGTTTTTCCTTCTCTTTCTTTCATTTTTTTCTATTTTGATTCCTTCCCTATTACAGTCCCCTTTTATTTTATTATTTTATAAGCATTTGCAAATTTGTATGAAAGAGTTCCCATTTCTGTATATATAAGAAACTATATTTATATGAAAATTTTGCTGCGTAATATAATATCACAGAGGTGAATATTCTTGAATGAGCACTGACAGAAGATTTATGAAAGATTAGAAATTTCAAGAAGGAAACATCGATGTTAAGGAGGACGAAATTTATTATACTCTGTAAGAAATTTTACGAGATTAGGTTCTTACGAGATCCGAAGTATTTGAAAAATAGAAGAAGTTTTGAAAGTAACGAGATTTAAACAAGTAGAGGCAGGAAATTTTCAGAAGATCAGAAATTTTAAGCAGGAAATGTCGATATTAAAGAGATTTATTAGGGTGCTTTATGAGATCCGACTCTTAAGAAAAACAGGAGAATGATGAGATTTAAACACGCGGTGGCAGGAAATTTTAAAATGAAAATGTCGATATTAAGATTGAAGAGATTTTAAAAAAGAAAAATACTTTGGAAAAGAAATTATGTTATCTAGTTAAATAATTGCATATGGATACTCATATTCACGTATATTTTATATGTATAATTGCTAGCATTTTCTAAATATTTTCTCTCTATTTAATATAATGATGAAGATCTTCTACGTAATATTTTATGACAGCTTTATTCAAGGTTACTTAATATTAATGTAATATTATACTATATGTTATATAATTATATTATTTATAAATATTATATTTTATACATCAATTTTCATGCATTTATATAAAATTTTAAAGTATGGAATTGCACACGATGCGCATAATATGAAAAAAATATATAAAATATCCAAAGTTCAATGCTCTTTATAATGTACGACAGATAAAATAATTTTTCGAGCTCCTATATATATATATTTTTTTTTTTTCTAATTATATTCTTAAAAACATGAATTTGCATATGAAAATGTTTACCTATAATTATAACTTATAACCTCATTTGAAACACTAGATTTCCAAGTTCAAAAATACAAAATTAATCAAAAATAACTGCACGAATATAAAATACAAAATAATTGTTAACTTTGCTCTAAATTCATTCGAAAAATATCTATATGTATTAATTAATATAATCGATTATCTATTAATTAATATATTCGAAGATACAAGAGTTATATTATTACTTAATTAATATATATCTTAATATATATCTTACATCTTGTATCGAATATTATTATATATTCGAAGATATAAGAGTTACATCTTTGAATGAAATCGCAAAATTCCCGCGCGGCGAACTGAAAAAGAAAAAAAAAAAAGAGGAAATTTCAAGGAACGGAGAATCGTGAATGTTGAAATAACACGGAGCATAGTACTACAGATAACGTTAATAAGAAGCAGTAGGTCAACTTGCATAGAACGAGGCTAGAACCTCCTGGCAAATCCGGTGTCAATGGGATCGATTCACCCAGCATCGTCGCTCCAGTTATTGACAGGGAACTGGACCGTCTAGTTTTTTTTTTCTCGGCGACGTTTCTTGCGTCCGCTGTAACCGTGGACTATGAACAGAGGATGTGTAACAATTCCTCCTCTGGAAAAAGATATCCAGTTGCCTTGATCTCTCCAGCCGGGTTACACTTCGACGAACGCTTGGGATTTTTTGTTTTTGTTACGGCTTAAGGAGTGGCGCATGCAACACTTTTGTTTCTTCTTAACGCACCTTTTACGCTTCCGTAACTAAGTAAGCGATGATTAACTTCTCACAGTTGAAAGAACGCGTATTTGCCACCAGTAACGAAAACATTGGATCGATAACATTTCCAACCGAAGAATGATAATTTACTGTATAGTACGTTACGTTATGTATTGTATCGGGTTGGACAAAAAGTAATTGCGTTTGTTTCTAACAGATGGACATATGTGTATATTTTAAAATGTGGCTAACTTCATTTTATGACCGCAGAATCATTGTGCGATCTGATACCTGATCGTCCAAGCTTGTTTCGACACGATTTCGTTGACAATTGTCGTTTGGTGTCGGTTTCAAAATGGAAAATCAAGAAGGAATTTTCGTCATATTTTGCTGCACTACTTCCGAAAAGAAGAAAGACGCTGTTTTTAGAAATTATCTAATGTGTAATGGTGAAAAAGTCTTCGAAGTATGACACTGTCAGAATTGGTTTTGTTAAATTTCACTACTGATGAAGATATCAAATCGTTCTTGAAACTGTTTTCTGTCGAAGAATATTTTTGAACACGGAATCATGAAGTTGAAAGATCGCAAAAGGTAATCGAACAAGATGATCAATAGATTGTCTAATGAAGTTCTTGTTTCTCGTGAAAAATTCGTTTTTTACTTGGACGCAAAAAGACGTAGTTACTTTATGGCCCAGTCTAATGTAATACATTACTGTGCACGAATAATTGGATGCTTAGTGCAATTCCACTGAAAAGTTGATATTTTTGTTACGTTTCAACAATTACGATTGAAGAACGTTTTTCTACATTCTCAAATTTCATATACATTTTTAATAAATATGAAATTGACGCTTCGTGAAATCTGTGTAAACTTTTTCAATATGGTTAGAAATATTTATTTTATTTATTCTAAATTTTCAATGTACAGACGTACTTAAAGTCAAATGCTGCGGTATTTTCAACCACTTTATTATATTTACTTATTCTTTTTGTCAATATCTGTTAACTAGATATGTTAAGAGTACATTACATTACAGAGTAAAGTTTTTTTTTTTCATAAATTTCAAATACATAAAACGCTCCAGTCTCTCTTGTTATGGGATATTTACAACTTGTGTATACTCCAGAGAGATTGTAAAATCATATTATACTGTTAATTCAGTTTCGACCAAAGTACATGCATAACATAAGCCCTTATTCCAGGTCACCACTCAATTGTGCAAAATGTTTCTCTAGTGTATATTGTATAATTTAATGTCAACAATAATGGAGGTTGACTTATATGAAATCTATAGTTGTTAGTTTAGTTGTGCTCTTCATTGTAATATATAAATAAATAATCAAATCTAATAATAGTAATAATCAGATTGTGGATGTTAAATGCAAAAACAAATTCTTGTATGTAATTACAATTCTGCAGATTGTATATGTTTTGCATGTTCTAATTTCGAAAATTATATCTTCAACAATCTTCTCAAGTACAATCTTCTTGAAGGTTGAACTTATCACTTGTTCGTGCAAGTAATTCCAAGCGTTTTTATTTCATTGTACATCTACTTTATATTTCATTCTGAAGTTTTAAGCTTCAAATTAATCAAAGTTAATTAAGCTAAAGAAAAAAGAAAAATAGAAATTTCATAAGAAAGTGAAGTATGAAGATTGAATAGTGAAAGCCCTAAAATCGGGCAAAGGGCTCGATTTAACACGGATCTTTCAGGCTGACGTAAACGTGTAACCAACTGTATTGCGACAGACTTATGCAGGGCACAAGGTCCGGCCATTCGCCAGTCGAATTTTTACCGATCGAAGGTTAGGTTTCGCAGTTGGGTCTGCGTACCGATCTGTGGCCCCTGTACGCCCTCTCCCTCCTTCGCCAATGTCCCCGTATCACGTCAGTACAGTCAGTTCTGCTATCATGCTCCTTTTCTTTAACGCACATTCAAAACCACAGTTCCCATGTTTAAATCTACAGTAAAATATAGTAAATCGTATAAAGTAAAATATAGCAGTATAGTAAAATTTTTAAATTTTTAAACGTGTTACGAACGTTAAAGATACAACATTTTCTATACAGATCGATACTGAAACACTAAGAAAGGAACAATTCATTTATTATACCAAGCTGCGAGTTAAAAGTCCGTCTCGAATGTCTTCTTCTCACTTACTTTTCTGTTAAATTTCATTTTAAGTTTGCTTATTATACTTTAGTCATGTTATTGAAAGATATGGGAGTTTTCATATTTTTTAAATAGCTCTAATTCGTCACTAAGATAAATGGCACTATTTGCTTTGGAAGGTCTGATTTCTTTGTTCGAAAGGCACATTTTGTTAAATGATCTCTTTTTCCCCGAAAAAATTTATTGTCTCTCGTTATTATTATTTTCAGTTAAATCTTATTTTTTGTAAAGTATAATCTTATTTTTTGTAAAAGAAATTTTCATATCTGTTAAATAACTTTTAGTTCGAAATAGTATTAGATGAATTTCATAGTACTGAATAAATGACATTATTTGTCTTGAAGGGTTTGATTTCTTTATTAAGACAGATATTTTGTTACGATCCTATTATACTTTTATATTTATATTATAATTTAATTTAATTAGAAATTACAATTAAAATTAAATTTTAAAGTAAATAAAGTTTGATTAATTTAATTATAAATTTAATTGAAAATAAATTTTTATAATTAATAAAATTTAATTAATTTGACTATAAATTATTAACTTAAAATAAAATTTAATGTAATACACACATATATATATATATAGCTTCTCTTTTCTTCATCATTTCTTAAAAGTAATCATTTCTGATTAAGATAACTTCATTTAAATTATTTTATTTTTTATAAAAGAATTTTTAAATTTGTAAAGTTATAATTTGAAACTATACTACACCAATCTTTGATGGTTCTTTTATTCAAAAGCTACATTTTATTGATTTTAAAGGTTTCGTCTTTTTCTTAAAGATCATGAATTAAAGATTATGAATGTGCAATTGTGGAAAATATTTCATAGATTTCACTTTTTAGATTTAATATTATAGACAAATTTAAATATAATAGATTTAATAACAATTCTGGATATTAATTAATTATAATAGATTTAATAATAATTTTTAATATAAAAGGTTTCATTGCTTTAAATAACCAAACTTATCTTTATGCAATTTCAAAAGTTTTATCCATACAATTAAAGAAACGTAATTTAAGAAAAAATTTGTTAACATTGCTAAATATTATGGCAAGCATTTTGCTTTTGATATTTTATATATTTTTGCATATTCAAATATCTTACAAATACATAAAAATCAACAAAAATTTAACATTAATAAATTTAACAAATTGACATTTTGAAAATTAATTGTAATGACAGGATTTTTGTGTTTACATTCAAATCGGTCAAATTTGAAATCAATCTGAAGTATTACAAGATATTTATTACAGACATTAAGAACTAAGCAACAATTTAATATAATTTCTTGAAATTATAGAAAGGATACTAAGAGAAACTTAAATTAGGAAATTTTCAATGTTTCTTTCAAAATCACGATATTAAAAAATAAAATTTGCAATTGTAAATTAATTAATATTCATTAATAATATTGAGATTTGTTAATATGACAGTTAATTGGTTATTTAAATACGAAATTATGTAATACAAGTATTTATATTAAGTGTATTATATCATCCCATAAATATTGGTATCGTTGGTTTCTACATGTGTCTATATTAGATAAAAACGGAAAATTGTTGCAAAAAATGTTCCCATATTTTTCACAATTCTTTATTTTGTTTCAAGTTTTCTATTTTAATTTTATAAAACTCTCATAATAATAATTTCTACTCTTTTTCGCACAAAACAATTTTCCTTCAATTTTTACATTGTTTTAACATCAAAAATAAAAGCATGTAAATTTGCATGAAATAAATTACTCTCAAATATGGATTTGCATAAAGAGATACAAATTTGCGTAAAATAAATTGTTCCCTAAAAAAGTATAAATTATTCACAAAAACCTGCAGTCTAATCATCGAGTCTCGTTATGATGCCAATGAAATTACAAAATAGCCTATAATTGGTTGTACTTTTTCATCATAAATTTGCACGAAGATCTGCAATTTAATCATGATCAACGAGATTACAAAATATCTCATATTTATTCCATCTTTTTACACCATATTCTCAAAAATACGTATCTTCAAAAATCCACAGTTTAATTACATTTTCTCTTTGAATCACTATATATTGAACCATTATATATTATACACTTATATATTGAACCATTATATATTATATAATATTACATAATTATAATTATTACAATTGTTGCAATGCTAATAAAATCAATGTATTTCTTTTAGGCAAAAGAGAGCAGGAGGATGGCGCGTTATCGACCATCGCTGAAAAGAAGGGTCCGCCACTGCACGACAAAATCTCTCTTCTCACAGAGAAATCTGTTATCAGGCTTGGCGCGTGGCGCCTGGTGTTATCAGGAACGACTGTACACGTCAGGATCGTGAGTCAGAGCCAGAGCCAAGAGCGACTCGCACGGCGGAGGCCACTTCTCCGGCGTAGTCCCCTCCTGGTGGGGACACGTCGCGTTCGCAGAGGGCAACGACGACGACGACGACGGCGACGACGACGACGACGAAGGAGAGATCGCCAGTCAAGACCCCGGCGAAGAAGAAAAGAGAGACGAGCGCGGTCGTGGTAAGGCTTACCACGAGGCGGTCGCGAGCGATCAGTTTGGTCGACGTGCAGAACCGGCGCGGACGTGAATCGGCCGCCGATTGTGAACCGGCAGTGAGCTACCATACAGCACCCATTCGGATAAGAGAGCATTAGCCGGAGGATGCCTCGTCCCTTCACTGGATAACGTCACCCTATTCCTCGTGTATGTTTTCAATTCGATACATCTGTATCGGTATATACCGGTATAGCCGGTATGATCTCGTTGACCCTCGACTTAACGTCCTGTAAATCGAAAGTTGCGTGTCCGTTATGGTCTATAGTTCTTTCAAAGATTTCAAAGGTTTGGGGCGCTATCACGCGGTGAAATATATGCGAATATATACGGAAATATGAATTTGATGGTAATTCTTTTCTTTCTTTTTTTTTTTTTTTTNTTTTTTTGGAATTTTGTACGTGCATTTAGTTTGTCATGAAAGTATCAGTTTGAAAATTTTCCACTTTGAAATATTTTAAATATCGTTTAGAATAATTTTGCTTCCTATCGAATGTCCTATTTTGGCAGTATTATGAAAATACCGAGTGATTTGTAATAATTATTAATTCTCAGGTTTCAAATTGTATTAAATTAACCAATGATCTTTTTGTCTTGTGAACAAGTGAAATTTTGGTTATCGGATTTATTACGGAATATTAATAATTGTTAACAATCATAATTAGCTACAAAAATCTTCTTCTTCTGCAAGTAAACGAAATTCTGATTACAGAAGATTAATCCAAAAACTTTTGAACAGACTTGCAACTCTGATGATCGTTGAATTATTTCGTTTCCGCGAAAAATTCTAGAAATTTTATTTATTGTCGTATATCTGTATTTTTCAATGACCAAAGTGTAAGAATTGTATCAGAAAAATTAGAGTGCAGCTAGTGGGAAGAAGTTTACAATACAATAAATAACACAAACTTTTATTTTACAGAAATCACTCAAATTTCTAAAAGGCGCAACATTATAGTTTTGTAAAATTACTTTAAGAAATTATAAATTGGTCGTTTCAAGCAGTTTGGTTGTTCTAGTGTTAAACATGATATTAAATAATTCTTTTTATCGTACGCGGAAAAACGGGATTCTTCAACTCTTATTTCGTGTTTTTTTATTATCGAGTTGTTGGATTATAAATTATTTTTTATTTGTTTATTGAGTCCCTGTTCATTCGTTGTTTTCTCATTAAATTAATTCTTTTTATTGGTGAAAGTATGGTTTGAAATAGAAATTGAAATTGTATCGATGGTTATTCGAGCTGGATTTTGAAATTGAAATAAAGATTGTATCGAGGATTTAGAAAATTTCGACGAATTTTTCATTTGATTATTCGGTTCTTTTTCGTTGTTCTTCTCTAAATTAATTCCATTTTCTGCTTCAAAATAAAGATCAAGATCGTATGGAAGGTGGTTTGAGTTGATATTTTAGAAAATATCAAATTTGAATTTTCTATTTGTTCGTTTCCTCTTACTTGTTATTTATTTATTGATAAAAGAGTGCTTTGAAATAAAAATTGACGCTGTATCGATGACAGTTTTTGGAACTTTAGAAGATATCAAAGTTCCAAGGACAAATTTTTTATTTGACTGTTAGGTTTCCTTTTTTACTTGATTTCATTTGTTCGTGAAAATATGGATTGAAGTAGAGACCGAGGTTAAATCGAGGATGATTTCGGTTGAATTTTAGAAGGTATCAAATTTGAACGGCGATTGGGCCCCAGTCGGGATTGTAAGGCAGTGGGTTAAAAGACCGGACGTAACTGTTCGCGACTTCGTGCTGGAGAGATCGCTTTTAGTTTTATTCTCCTCTTTGCACATTTAGTTTTGGAATGTTCTTGCGATTCGACGCTTTTTAAAAGCACATTGTAACCTTATTTTATCTTCTTACAATATTCAACTGATTCATTATTTGTTGTATTTTTTAAAAATTCTGCTCTTGTCGCACTAGCAATGGAACATTCATTTAATTCTGTATCGATTATTTAACTAATGCTACTGAAATAATAGTAGTTTACCTTATGGCAGAAATAAATTCTCCTTCTTTTTTTATACTTTTAATATCGATATACCGTTGCAAGCTTATGTTATTATGTTTGTAATGTCAATGTAATACAATTGTAAATTTTACGACATGTTTAATAAGATTTTTCATCTCGTTTTTAAACATTATCAAACGTCGATTTAAAGCTTGAAGCATATTGAATTCAATATAATCGGTATTTTACTATACTATGCAAAGGGGGATTTATACTGATTGTGGGGAAGAAATATATGTATCACCATCTAATGTAAGAGGTATAATTATTAAAATCGTGCGCAGTTTTTATAAAATTTGAAATTTCGACGCAACAAAATGAAAATCGCTTGCAATTAATACAATGCATTTGATTAGAAAATATAAACGTGAATAACAGGCCACATAATTATCAACAATATGCGATTAAAGATTTTAGTTGTAATAATTATGAAATTATTTAGAATTGAAATATATTGAATCTGGGGAGACGAAATGTAATTAATATTAGATGTTTTCAAGAAAACCATGAATGTTGATACTTATATTTACTGTGAATTTCATTTGCAATAATTTCAGTACAATATATTTGTTAATGTAATGTCACTTTGTTTTTCATTTTATGACACGAAATTAAATGTAAATGAATTCCAAAGCGTTATGTACTAAATTTAATTGAAATTACATTTTCTGTATATTTTCTGTATATTCAAGCTAACACGCTATATATCTTTTAAATAGCTATTACAATCTTGGAAATATATCTCGAATGGAACAGGATGTCCCAATTTTCATAGCAAAAGAAGAAACTAATTTTAAAAATGCAAAAACAAACCGGAAGGGAAGAACGATCATTTTTCACTTAAGACTTCGAGTAAATGGAGTTTGAAAACTTGCCAAGTACAATTAGATTTGAATAACTTAGCCAAAGAAATGAGAAATCGATACGAGGATATTTTACGTGCAAAAATAAATCAATAGTGCAAGATAAAATGTTTTCGTTGACCAAACCACAATCAGTTTGCCTGTATTAATCATTAATTTTAGATATCTTTGGTTAAAAAATCAATGTTAAGGAATATTTAATATTGATCTTCTAAAAAATAAAGCGTCACGACATTTGAACTAAAAATCATTTTGAAATTCTTTTTTGAATTTCAAGTACACTGTTATTAATCTCTAATTTAAAATATTCTATATTTACACTGTTATTAATCTCTAATTTAAAATATTCTATATTTACACTGTTATTAATCTCTAATTTAAAATATTCTATACACTGTTATTAATCTCTAATTTAAATTTATTCTATACACTGTTATCAATCTCTAATTTATTCTGTACACTGTTATTACTCTCTAATTTAAAATATTCTATATTTAAAAATTACAATTTTTTATATTTTTGTGGCCCATTGTTCATGTTTGTATTTCCTAAGTAATCAAAATATTTGACGAATAATTTTTATCTCCCATGTTTAAAAATTACAATTAGGTGCGACAAGTGTCACAAATTATTCTACAAATAAAATAGAAACAAAGAACCGTTTCGTATTAATATTTGGTAGGAAACGTGTGAGAAATTCATCATCCATATTAAACTCTTTCGTTCAGATTCTTCGACCTCTCCCTGGAGAACGGTTTCTCCCGTCTAAGAAGACGAATTCACCGAGCGTGGAAAAGTTTCTTCGACGCTATCTTCGTATCAGACATGCTTCCTTCCAGTTTATCATTTTTTTCTCTCTCTCTCTCACTCCTCGAAAGGAACAGCGTAGATAATTGTGGAATATCGTGTTCCATCAGGGACGAATTGTTCTTGCTTCGCACCGTAAAATTCACTCTAACGATCCTGCCAGGGAAGTTACCGGGTCTCGCCTTTTTCCGGTAAGGTCATTCCGGTAGGAAAGCTCGCCTTATACTGCCATTAGTATAATTAACCCAGATTTTCCCCGGATTTATGGTGAACGGCGTACGAGTCAGAGCTGTGCTCGATGCATTGTAGCGCCTCGTCCACATCGTTGTTTCTTCGTTTCTAAATCGAAGGAACGCTGTTTCTTTTTTGGTATATAATATTAGTCGGTTAAAGAAATAAAAAGGAGAAGAATCTGGGTCAGAGTCGAGGATTGATCTTGTCAATTTTGCAACGTTGAGTAAGAATTGTTGCAAGAATAAGTGGAATTACACTCTGTTGTTTCTTTCTTCTTTAAGTCGAGGAGGAAGTATAATTTTCGTTGATTATCAAAGAGGTAGAAAATTAAGGAGCAAAGAAAAAAAGATCAGAGTCTAAGATTGACAGAAAATTTATTTTCACAGCACTAAACAGAAGTTCATAATTTAACGCGATCGTAAATTAAATAATTAGAGAGTGTTAAAGAATAAAAGAAATTTAAATCTAGTGTTTACGATTAATAGAAAATTCATTTCTGTCACCAAATAAAAATTGACTTTAATCTTGGGTCGCTGAATAAAAATTGTCAGGCTGCGAATTAGAGAGTAAAAAAAATAATCAGTAGTAAAATGAAAAAAGATACAAATTTAAATTTATAGTTTGACAGAAAATTTATCTCTCTGAATTTTAAAGTATTGAACTTGATTGATAAAAAATTTATTTCTACCAATTGTAGGATAGATTAGACAAATTGCAATTTGACTATGAATTAGGGAATAAAAGTCTGTTATCCAGAAACCACATTTTGAAATACTTGAAAAGGTAGCTTTAATTTGTCAGCATGTGTATTGTTTATTATTTTTATAGTTATATTATTATTTTTATTATTTTTATATTTTTATTATTTTTATACTTTTATATTATCATTTATTATTTTTATACTTTTATATTATCATTTATTATTTTTATTATACTTTTTATACTTTTATATTATTTTTATTATTTTTATACTTTTATATCATTATTTTTATTATTTTTATACTTTTATATCATTATTTTTATTATTTTTATACTTCATCACCAAAAATCCAAAAGCTTAGTATTGAATGAAACGGACAGAACAAATTAAAAATGAACCTTCGAACATACATCTTACATACTTTGAATAACTTTTAAATTATGTTAGTGACTTACGTACTTCAAATAACGTTTAAATTATGTTTTTAATGAAAAATTGAAAAAGACAAAAGTCGTATGGTTTCAGGAAGTCTAAAAGACGTGTCGATTTTTTTTTTTTTTTACTTGGAGAGGTTCAAAAATTTTCAACGTTCTTTTATTAAATGGATTCATGTATCTTTTTTTTTTTTTGTCACAGATCGAGTGAATATTAGTCATGTTATGCCTGAATTCATCTGTATTGATCTTAAACTAGTGAGTTTGCTTCGAGGATGAAGAATGATATATTCTTGATGATATATATTTATATTTCTGTATAGGAAAAGTAAAAAGAAAATCATGATTAAATCGAGGATTAAATAAAGAAAATATCAAAATTACGTAATTTAACGTTAAATCATAATGGTTCTCAATGCCACCACGATGCTAATTAACAGTTAAGAATAATAATAATCTTTCCTTTCAAGTTTCGTATAGTATTTTATAGTGAGGTCAAGAATTTTCCGAAGAAAAATTAAAAAAAACTCACGACACTCGCGGATTAAATTGAACATTTCGAAAATTAATTGACTTAACGTGTTCGATAGGATAATGACACTAATTAAAACTGAAGAATGAAACAGGTAAACATTTTTCTTTCAAACCGTCCTGAAAAATTAATTACATGAAGTTAAACATTCTCACGAAATTGATTAAAAATTAACACAGATCGTGACGATTAAAATTTCAAAATTTTAGGTCCACAAAAAAAAAAGAAAAAAAAAACGGTCCAATGATACCTGTTAAGACTTAACGATAATCCCTTCGAGAATACCGACTCCATAGAATTTTTTTAATAAAGCAACTTAATTTCGTTCGATCGATTGCAACGATTGTAAGGTGTGCTCTCGTTCAGGAGAAACATTCGCATTTAACACGAACGGGTATTCAGGAAGCGAGAATGTCGGAGGGCTGCACGAGTTGCAGGGGTGCGAATTATGCAGGCACCACGCTGCAGTTAAGCTCGGCTTCCGGTGGCGGGACCGGAAGCGGCTCCTCTACGTCTGGAAACTCTTGCACATCCACCAGAAGGGTACAGGTACGCGCGAAAGTGCTGTACGGCTCTGGCAAGGCGATCGCCAGCTTGCAAGCACAAGAGAAAGCTGCCAGGCACTGATAAGGTACGTATCGCTTAATTAGTATATATATACACACAATTAATTAATATATAATATTATCAATTAATAATTTTATATATATAATTAATATATCAGTATAATATATATAATTAATATATGAGTGTAATATATACAAAACTTATATATCATTATAATATATATGTAATTAATATATGAGTGTAAAATAATCAGTGTAAGTTTTCATTAGAAATCATGTGTTTGAGCAATATTAATTAACAAATATCCTTTCTGTTGTTTGTTTGCAGTTCAGTCATTATTAAATTGCGGATTTTTATGTAAATTTGTATTTTTTGAAATATATATATATAATATAAATATAAAAGTAACATAACATATAATATAAATATATTATAATATAAAAGTACATAAATAATAATATAAAATTATAATTTAACAATAATATAAAATATTATATATTAAGTATATAATTTTGAAATATAATAGAACCTATATATTATAGAAAACTATTTTATCCGCGAAATTATTATAAGAAAGGACTGTGTGCTTTCAATGTTTTATATTTGTGTTATATTTGTTACATATTTTCGCGCTTTAAATGCATAAAAATCTACAGTCTGGTCATTATAATATAATTAATATAATATAATATATTATAATATAATATAATATTATATTATATATTATATATATAATATGTTATAATATAATTATTATGACATTATAACTCAGTTCCATGGACTAAAGATATTGATAAGAAAAATACACTTGTTGGCACAAATCGTTTTTAATGAAAAATGACTTGCACTAATTGATTTCTGAGCCTTCCATATAGTGTATACACACGGTGTCATGTACAATCAGTCAGAAGAAGATTTTTACTTGTAAAAATAAATGAGGAAGAGGAAATAATACGCAAGTTTGAAAATTAGTCAAACATATTTAAATTTGATTAACTTATTAAGTATTAATCAATACAGTTGTGTGTTAACTGAATTATATTATAATTGAATTATGCAATCCAATTACATTTTAATTGTTTCAATTATTGCATTTTGATTAATTACAATATAGTTAGATTATACTTTGTCTCAATTTCACAATAATTTTCACAGTAATTATATTATACTTGAATTGTAAATAATATACACTACATTGTTATAATACAACGTAGTAAACACATCAAATTATTAAAATATATAAAAAATTTGTATTATGTGATTCAATTACATTCTACTTTAATTACATTGTAATTTAATTGTGAATTGCAATTGAATTACATAATACAAATTTTTCAATTAATTCAAATGCTAATTACTGCAATCACGAGTGCAATTGAAAGATTAATTTTTGATCATATTTAGCAACAGTTGCTCCAAACTTTTGGCCTGTGGTGTACATGAAATTTAATAGTTTCAAAAATCTGTGAAACATCAGACAGTGAAAAAGTATTTTAATTACTTATATAACGAAACGAAGCGAAAGATATTTTTTTAACTAACTACGTTTTAACGAGAACGGTAATTAATTTGAAGAAATGAAGTGAAAGTAATAAAGATATTTTTAATTAAAACTAAAAAAATATGTTGAATAACAACAAGTGAAGAGTTAGGATAATCTCTTGTGCAGTACCACTTTTGAAAAGCAAAAGATCCAAACGACTGATTTGAAACAATATCGAGGAAATGACAAAATAAAATTCGATAAATTCTCTACAATTTGTCTATTTTAACGAAAAATATCTTTCATTAGCAACCTTAGCACTGATTAGTACCATCAGTACTTTTTCTCGAATTTATATGCATGCTAATTTACTTAACAATCAAGAGATTTATTCTTTGCTTTTCTTACATACTGAATTACTAAACTCAATTTCATTACTTAATTAATTAATTTCTCTTTTTTTTTTTTATTTCTCATATCTAAATTTGCCTTTACCGATTTTCTACGTCTGCTTACTTGTATTCCACTCACTTTTGCTTATGTTTCCTAAATAATTAATTTCTAGGTGCATTACACATATTTTTATCCCGTATAAATAAATAAATAATCGAAGTCAAAATAAAAATTAACATTCAATAACACTATTTATCAGTGATCCATCTCGCCTCTCATCTATCGATCCTGTACAAATAAATGGAAGCTAAATATACAAAAAAAAAATGCCATTCATCGATTTATTCGATCTATCGATCTCGTACAGTTAAAATCAAAATTGAACAAAATCAATAACATCATTTGTTAATCGATGAATAAATGTAAAATTGAACGTCCTAACATTAACAACGATGTTCATCAATTATCGATCTCGTGCAAGTACGTGAAATTCAAATTAAAATTGAAGAAAATCAATAACATCATTTGTCAATCGATGAATAAACTTAAAATTGAACGTCATCATAACATTAACAACGATGTTCATCAATTATCGATCTCGTGCAAGTACGTGAAATTCAAATCAAAATTGAACAAAATCAATAACATCATTTGTCAATCGATGAATAAACTTAAAATTGAACGTCATAACATTTACAACGATGTTCATCAATTATCGATCTCGTGCAAGTACGTGAAATTCAAATCAAAATTGAACAAAATCAATAACATCATTTGTCAATCGATGAATAAACTTAAAATTGAACGTCATAACATTTACAACGACGTTCATCTCACCTTGGCTCCGATAAATCTTCGTTAATCGGTAAATTGTACCTAGAAAATAGTGAGAATCACCGTGAGCAAAGATTAAAGATTGGCCAGAAATTACCACAGATCATTTCTCCAAATGATCGTTCCTATCTGGAATCGAGCACGATTGCCTCCCCGAGGCTGTTGATTCGCGGTTCAGACGCGACGCTTCGTCCTTTCCACTTCTATTCGAGCAGCTGTGATTACGACGTGTACCATGGAAAGAGGATTCGTGATGATCTGTCGGCAGTGGATCACGAAAACACTTGGTCGAAATCGAAGCGAATGGCGATGCCCCCGTGTGGGCGGAGGGGGGAGCCTGAATAACAGTAAAAATCCGAGAAAAAGGTGTACGATCGAGCGATACGGTGAAAAAAAGAAAAAAAAAAAAAAAAAGACAAAATAGTCTCCTGCGTCCTTGTTCGGGGATAAGACCGGTCGATCGGCCTCCACGAGGCTTAGTACTTGGTGAACCGTCCTCGCGAAGGCCACGTATCACGGAGGACACCTCCTGCGCGCCTCTTGGATTTTGAGGGAGGGTAGAAGCGTGATCTCGGTCAATGTTCACTGTCACGGCGATTCATCTTGACATGCGTTCTTCTGCTTTGTGAGTTTCCACGCTTTTTATTCGAATTTATTCGTGGCAAATTGCTTTGCTTGTTGACTTCACTACAGTTTAGAGTTGATACGTGTTAGCGGGAACATGTGAGGGAAAGTCGCGCATTCAAGTGTCAGTGTAATGTTACGGTTATTGATTGAACAAATAAACTAAATTTGCATTTGTAATGTTGATTGTATAAATAGACGTCTGGAAATTGTAATTGAACGCATATCAATTAACTAAATATTAATTATGGTTAATTACGAACTGTAAATTGCTTTAATTTCGTATTCATTAATTATTAATGATTGGTAGGTGCAATTATTAACTTTTAACAGTAATGAAAATGTAACTTTGCAATTAATGTAAAATTATACTGACATTTAAGTACTTAACTCTTTATTAATAATAAATATTTATTAATATATATAAATATTAAATATTTATTATAATATTAAATTTATTAATATATATAAATATTAATATTTATCATAATATTAAATTTATTAATATTAAATATTTATTATAATATTAAGTTTATTAATATTAAATATTTATTATAATATTAAGTTTATTAATATTAAGTATTTATCATAATATTAAATTTATTAATTTACTAATAATGAACTTTTTATTTACATCTGATACTAATATCCAGACTTTTGAACAATTAATCGTCAAATTTTATTTACACTTAAATACTTAATCATTAATTAAAATTACACTATGCTTAATGAATAATATAAAAATATTTTTTTGTAAAGGAAAAATAGTTGGGAGTAATTTTCGAAATTAGAAGTAATTTTGACTAAAAGTAAATACATTTGATATTTAATTGACACATAGCCTATTACATCAATGTAATAAAGTAGTGAAGGCTTCAAGTGACTTTTGAAAATTGTTGCTTCTTCAATTACAATTATATATATATTACAGAAGCAGGCTTCTGAAGGAAAAATAATACTTTCAAATTGAAGAAAATACGTTTTGGTGTTCAATTAATTAATGAATGGTACTTTTATTAAAAACAAATACGTTTTTAATAAAACGTGATTAATTAATAGTTTGTCTAATAAGCAGTGTTTGAGAATTGTTGCTTCTTTAATTAATAGCCTTGTTCTTCTTTCTCTTTCGTTTAGAATTATTTATATACTTGCAATTATCTTAATAAATACTTTCCAGCTAGAAGTGATTTCATTAAAAAGAAATAAACCTTGCCTTTGATTAATCAATGATCAACATAGCGAGATATTGTTAAATATCTCATCTTGACAGTTGTTTCTCAAAATTTCCCCTCTTCTTGAGTTTATTGGATCACTTGGAAATTCTTGTTCCATCTTGTATTACCGTGATATATATTTTTATTAGAATTCCACTTTAATTTAGTGGAACCTGTTCCTTATCGCGTTCGATGAACCTGTTGGTTGTATATTGAAGGACAACATGTGCTCGTACGATCAGTAAACAAGGAAAATACGTTATCGTTTTGTGTTCTTCAACATCTTACAATCGACAGTCCCGTTATGTCTCTCCACATTCCAAATAAAGATTTGTGTTACCTGGTCATAGTGCCTGGTATTTCGCCTCGTTATTATCGGCGTTTGAACTAATCATCGACGCTGTTCGATACTTTACACGTTAACCTCGATTACATTCCATTACATTTCCGTCATTTCTAGTTCCAAGCTCTACTCTTTGTTCGACCCATATTTCTGATCTCATTGCTTGCTTAGGGATAATTATTGAAAGTTAATTAAATGTCTCACGACATTCGAAGCGGCTTGACATATTTTTTTCTCTTTATTGACGAACACAAATATTTCATTTTATTTTAGTTAGCTCCATTGAAATTTAGTTGAATGAATTTTCTTTTTTTATTAACGATTGTTTTATTTTCGTTTTGTTTGTCATGGCTCTGTTGAGTTCCTCGTTCCCAATTTTCAATAATTAGAGTTGTATGTTGTCTATTTATACATTCTATGATCTTCATGCACGACCAAACAAGGAAACATTATGAACATTATGAACATTCAATTATTTAATATTTTAACATCGATCTGTAGATCTTTTAGACGAAATTTTTAGATTTATATTGGAATACAAAAATTATTAAACTTGTTAAGGTCGATAATCAAAGATTTGTTAAAGTGAAATAAAAAGTTTTATAATATCGAGTTTTTGTAATTTTAATAGTTCTTTTTTTTTTCTATTTCAGATTTAAATACAAGTGACAAGTATGCTTTCTAATCAATTATTGTGAAACTTCTTTTACTTTGTAAATGTGAAAAGACAGCAATAATTTGTCATAATTATTAATTCAATTATAGCCAATATTATAAAATTAGAATCAGGGCTTTGAATACAATTAAAACTAAACAATTTTAAAACAAGAATTTAAAGCGAAATATTCTATTATTTTGAAAAATTTTTGATTTAAAGAGAAAGAGAGTAGAAAAGATCATTGTTGACATCGGAAATTGTTAGAGTTAGGCACTAACAGTATTTCAAATTAATATACACTGTATTTGACAAATATAATATATACATAATACACATATAATGATACAAAAGTATATATAAAATTATAACATATAAAGATATAACATACTATTACATATAAAATATATAAAACTGTAATATATAAAAATATACGTATTATAATATATAAAATATATGAAATATATAATGTATTATAATATATAAAATATATAAAATTATAACATATAAAACTATAGCATACTATAACATATTATAATATATAGAATATATAAAAGTATAACGTATTATAATATACAAAATATATAAAATATATGAAATTTAAATATATGAAACACATAAAAATATAACATACTATAACATATAGAATAACATAAAATTATAACATATGAAAACAGAACATAGTATAACATATTATAACATATAAAAATATAACATATACGATATTGTAACATATAAAATATATAAAAATATAACATAGTATAACATATTATAACATATTGTAACATATAAAATATATAAAAATATAATATACTATAACATATTATAACATATAAAATATATAAAAATATGACATACTATAACATAGTATAACATATAAAATATATAAAAATATAACATACTATAACATATTACAACATATAAAATATATAAAATTACAACTTATATAAAAATACAAAAATGCAACTCTTTCTCTAAGTTTTCGGTACATTGTAAAATTTTATTAAACAGGTCATCATAAATCATGTACGTGATATACAATAACAGGATCTCCTAACTCTAATAATCCTCGCATTTCAAATTTAAATCAATCCTCGTCGCGTTAGTCATCAAATTCCTTTACAAACTTTCAAAACGACCCAACACGTCGTCGACCCTGCGACCGTCCACGAAGAAAGTCCATTTCTCGCTTGTTCGTCACTCGGTATTCTCGCATTCTCGTCGAGTAATTGACCAGAATAACTCTACTAACGGGTATTTGCATATTACGTACGCGTCGGTGATCGATGATCCAGTTCGATTTCACCCGTGACGGGAATGACGAGGCGATTGGAAACAGAATGGACAACACCGGTATCATTCGATCGGGAGTCAATCGGTCTACCGCGATCGGTGCAATTAAATGCGGCAAACAACGCTGGAATGCAAATGCGCACGTGCTCCGGCAAACGGTATTCAACGCGTGCCAGAAAATACCATTCACGATCCGCGCTTTTGTGCGCATTTGCCCCGTGAGAAAGTTAATGTCACGGTCGAGAAAATGCGAAATTGAACGCCGCTTCGCAGTGAATCAGACTGTTGCAGATAATTATCCTGATTCGTTATCTTCTTCGATCAGCGTTTATTAATTATAAAACGATATACAACTTTACGAGGGTGTAGAAATCTGTATAAAACACGAGGTAATTTATAAATTATAAATTTTACCTTCATTGAAAGATAAAATTTATAATTTGTAAATTATAAATTTTACCTTTATTTATAAATTATAAATTTTACCTTTATTTTACCTTTATATAATTTTACGAGGGTGTAGAAATCTGTACAAAACACGAGGTAATTTATAAATTATAAATTTTACGTTTAAAGATTATATAAGGGGAAGCGAAATTTTTGTTAAATATGCATGCCTGTATAAAATATAAATTTATATAAAAATCCGCAGCCTATTTGTTAAATTTATAAGTGTTAAATTTATAAATATTATAAATAATATTATATTATGTACTTAACAGTATTATGAACTAATTATTATATTATGAAGAAAAGTCATAAGGTAACAATTATTTTTCTCTATATCATATTATGAAAAAAAGTCATAAGGTAACAATTATTCTTCTCTATATTATATTGTGAAAAAACAGTCATAAGGTAACAATTATTTTTCTCTGTATTATATTATGGAAAAAAAGTCATAAGGTAACAATTATTTTTCTCTATATCATATTATGAAAAAAAATCATAAGGTAACAATTATTCTTCTCTATATCATATTATGAAAAAAAAGTCATAAGGTAACAATTATTTTTCTCTGTATTATATTATGGAAAAAAAGTCATAAGGTAACAATTATTTTTCTCTATATTATATTGTGAAAAAGAGTCATAAGGTAACAATTATTTTTCTCTATATTATATTGTGAAAAAAAAGTCATAAGATAACAATTATTTTTCTCTATATCATATTATGAAAAAAAGTCATAAAGTAACAATTATTTTTCTCTATGTTATATTGTGAAAAAGAGTCATAAGGTAACAATTATTTTTCTCTATATTATATTGTGAAAAAAAGGTCATAAGGTAACAATTATTCTACTTTATATTATATTGTGAAAAAAAGTCATAAGGTAACAATTATTTTTCTCTATATTAGATTGTGAAAAAGAGTCATAAAGTAACAATTATTCTTCTCTATATTATATTGTGAAAAAGAGTCATAAGGTAACAATTATTTTTCTCTATATTATATTGCGAAAAAAAGGTCATAAGGTAATAATTATTTTTCTTTATATTATATGGTAAAAGAAAAGTCATAAGGTAACAATTATTTTTCTCTATATCATATTATGAAAAAAAGTCATAAAATAACAATTATTCTTCTCTATATTATATTGTGAAAAAGAGTCATAAGGTAACAATTATTTTTCTCTATATCACATTGTGAAAAAAAGGTCATAAGGTAACAATTATTCTACTCTATATTATATTGTGAAAAAAAAAGTCATAAGGTAACAATTATTTTTCTCTATATCATATTATGAAAAGAAAGTCATAAAGTGACAATTATTTACCATAATATATTATCTTACCAGTTTCTGGATTGGATATTTCATACAAACACATAATATAAATATATAAAAATATATAATATATATAAGTATATAGAAATATATAGAGACACATAATACAGAAGTGTGGTACATTATACAGAATCTCGTTTCTAATTTCGATTCGACGAAAGTCAAATACATCGGACGCAATATATACAGTCGAGTCTCTGTTTAATTTTATTATTTTCCAGCGTCCTCCTCGTTCTTCTCTCCTCCGGTCTATCAAAGTCAGCCACGAGCTATGAAACTCCTCGATCGTCCGACGCAAAACTATCTTCAGCTGTTCGGCCAACAAACGACTCCACGTACCACGACGAGTCGAACCGAGATGATCCCGAGCCGATAGAAACTTTATTTATTCCCGAGGATCCAAGCGAATACGAGCGAGTTTTACTTTACGTGCGAAGGTTGTTCCGGCCGGCGGAGGATCGAGAAGTCCCGGAGGATCTCGGGAAGCAGGCAATCGACGATGAGGATCGATTTTCGAGGCTGGGGGACGTTCGAGGGAGCAACTCGGGGCCGTCAGAGAGAGAAGAGGACGAGGAGAAATATCTGCAGAGAAATCCCAAGGGAGGTGTTCCTCCGAGGACAACCACGGAGAGTAATAGAAAGGACGAGGTGGTTCCGATGGAAAGAAAGAACTATGACGCCGGCTACGATGGTGGTAAAGGCGAACCGGACGAGAAGGACTTGTTGGAGGCGGCTAATTTTGGGCTCGCTGCCATGAGGCATTTGTACAATATTAAGGAACCGATGCTTTACTCAATGGGTGAGTTCTCTCTTGAGTGTTCTTTCTTTTTTAGGTAACGATTGTCTCGATTGAAGTATTAGCCGCGAAACTGATGCTGTTGTATGTAGTTATTAAACTGTGATGTAAATTAAACTTTATATGTTTATAGAGAATTTTAAAATGTCACGAATCGTTATTCGTTTATTTATGTGTATATATACATATAAATTAATTCAATCCTATGTTAATTAGTATAAATTGTTTTACAAAGAATACCTAATAATATTTCATTTAATACTCGATTATAAAATTTTTGATAAACAACGAAAAATTAGAAACTCTGTAATTTAAATGATAGATTAAATTATAATTTATCATTTTATTCGTTTATATTGGTATTTTAAAAGTACCAATAGTATTTTAAAAATGATGATTAATATTAAATTATTTTAAACATAATACTTACTAATCAAATATTTTGTCTAATACTCAATTATAAAATTTTTGATAACGAAAAATTAGAAATTCTTTAATTTAAATAATAGATTAAATTATAATTTATCATTTTATTCATTTATATTAGTATTTTAAAAATGCTAATTAATGTTAAATTATTTTAAACATAATACCTACTAATCATATGTCAAATATTTTATCTAATACTCAATTATAAAATTTTTGAAAACGAAAAATTAGAAATTCTTTAATTTAAATAATAGATTAAATTATAATTTATCATTTTATTCATTTATATTAGTATTTTAAAAATGCTAATTAATGTTAAATTATTTTAAACATAATACCTACTTATCAAATATTTTATCTAATACTCAATTATAAAATTTTTAATAAACAACCAAAAATTAAAAATTCCATAATTTAAATAATAGATTAAACTATAATTTATCATTTTATTCACTCATATTAGTATTTTAAAAATACCAATATAATATTTTATAAATGCTAATTAATATTAAATTATTTAAAAATAATACCTATTAATCAAGTATTTTACCTAACTCCAAATTACCTCTAACTACCTGATAAAAAAATTATAAAATTTTTAAACACAGAATGCATTATGAAAACATATGTAAAACGTCTAAAGTAAAAAAGAGAATCATAGAAAATTAGGTTTTAATTATCCAAAGTGTTTCCATTATGTATATTTATTCTTTGTATATTTCAATATTAACGATGATTAAGTTATTATTAGTTATTATAAGTTATTATTAGTGTATTTCAGTTATGTCCTCACTATAATAACAAAAAATGTATACCGTCAATTTAATTTCTGATTTATATGTAGATATAATTGTTGTATAAATTGAAATGAATTCCTTATTGTGGGCAATGAAAAGAACAAGTTTCGCAGTAATAAAAAGTTGTCAATATTAGTTTCAATTACTCAAATGTCCATGATATTTCTAAATATTATATTCATTCTTCAATTACTCTATATTTCTAAATACTATATTCCTGTCTTAACATCACTTGCAATAAGAAGATTATACAAAACTTATAGTTAATAATAAAAAGTAAAATTGACCAACTTAACTTCACTTTTTATTATTACAATGAGACTAAAATGACCTTTGCATATACATATGTACACTATTGTGCACAAAATATTTGGGCATTCTTAAGTTAACACAATAGAAAATACAATTTAAATGAATTACCTAATTTATTTCGTCTTCAAATGAACAATTCTCTTGGAGAATTGCAAGATAGAAAATTTCAACGTTAAATTCACCTTGCAACTGAATTTGAACAGGCCTTTACCTCGACTCGGACAATCCTGCGAGGCACCTGGCAGTCTTCAACGACCAAACGGAAGAAGCAAGAACACTGGCGAAGTATGGCTACGCGGTTCTCCAAGGTGCCACGATGTTCAGAAGGAAGTAAGTGTACTCGCCCCTCGCTTCGCAACTTTCCACTCTTATTTAATCTGAAAATTTCGTTCCCGGCTCGTTCGCTTTTCAAGATTCCCAAATACTCCGGCGGACTCGCTTCTGTCTCGTCGCAGTCAAAGCAATCCACTTCGACGTAACTGCCCAAACAGAGGAGTTCCGAACTGTCCAGCGGCTAGTTTGCGATACAGAACGTCTGACGGAAGTTGCAATAACTTGCAGCATCTGTGGTGGGGCTCTGCCATGTCCGCCATGCAAAGGTGATTTAAACAAATAACGCGATGAACATGATGTGTTATCACGACAGAATATCTGTGACATCATTTCAGATTTGATCCATTAAGGGCCAACAACTTTACTTGCTATTTTCTTTTCTTTTTCATATTGCAACTGTAAGAAGAGATTCCAAAGATTCTTTTAGTATTTTTTGAGCATTATTGTATATTATTATTGTATTATATATATTATTATATGTAATATATATATTATATTATATTTTATATAATAGTATTACAATATAACAATTATTTTTTATATATATATATGTTATATTATATATTATTACCTTCAATATATTATTCATTATTTACCTTCAATTTATTATATACCTATATGTATATATATACGTTCCACTTCAATATAGTATAATATAGTATAACCAATATAGTATAGTATAATATAGTATAACTAATTATAGTATAACAATTATATAGTATAATATAATATTAATATATTATATTATACATTATTATATTTACTTTCACTGTATTATATACCTATATGTATATATACCTTCCACTTCAATATATAGTATATAATATAATCTTATCTTAAAATTGAAGTGGAAGGTAAATATATTATACATTATATATATAATATATTATATTATACATTATATTTACCTTCCACTTCAATTTCAAGAAATTGAAGTATTTATAATAACGTACAGTCCACTGCAAATGGACAAGTCAAAATTTTTAGATTTAACGATTTTGATAGCACGTATAACATAAATTTTGATTTTGATTAATGAATTTGATAAATGTCTGTCAGATTGTTGCCTCCGGTTTACGACGATGGCATTCAAAGTATCAGGAAATCGGTCACAGGAAGACCACTTCCCAGCGCTAGACTCGTGAGCACAGTCATTCACGTGGACAAAGATATTCCTTTGGAATCTGTTACTCACATGCTGATGCAGTGGGGGCAGTTTGTCGATCATGATCTGACAGGTATGAATTTTTAGTCACTTCTCATTTTGTAAAAATTAATAAAGAATGTTCTCGTTTCGTTTATTAATCATGATTTAATAAGTGTGAATTTTTAACAATTTTTTTTATAATTTTAGATAGTTTTGTAGTTTTAATTGTAGAATTTTATAAATTTAATGTTCTTCTTCAATGAGAATTAATAAAGAATATTTCGTGCAAACTTTTATCTTGTTATTTTATTATTTATTATTATTTTAAAATTTTAGTAAATTACAGCATATTGTTATTTTAGTATTTATTATTATTTTGAAATTTTAGTAAATTACAATATATTGTTATTTTATTATTTATCATTGTTTTAAAATTTTAGTAAATTATAGTATATTGTTATTTTATTATTTATTATTGTTTTAAAATTGTAGTAAATTATAGTATATTGTTATTTTATTGTTTGTTAAAGTTTTAATAAATTATAGTATATTGTTATTTTATTATTTATTATTGTTTTAAAATTTTAGTAAATTATAGTATATTGTTATTTTATTGTTTGTTCTTGTTTTAAAGTTTTAGTAAATTGTAGTATATTGTTATTTTATTATTTATTATTGTTTTAAAGTTTTAGTAAATTATAGTAGACTGTTATTTTATTATTTATTATTGTTTTAAAATTTTACAGTAAATTATAGTAAAAGTTTCAAGGAAGGATTAATGTCTTAAATTTGTAATTATAAATTTCTGTAAATCTAATATTCTATTTTTCTAATATGCGAATTTTTATAATTTAAGAATTCACATTCTAGAAATTATTATACTTATATTTTATCTTATATTTATATTTTCATATACATATTTATATTCATAAATACATATACATATACATATATATATATATATATATATATATATATATATTTATATATTTATATATTATACATGTATTTATACATGTATTACATATATTACAATCGATAGATTTAATAAGTATGTAAATTCTCACGCACTAAAAGATTCTTCCCAACAAAAAAAGAGAAATTACTCCTTGGAAGGAGACTAGGATATCCTTTATTATGAACCACCGTGAATTTCAATTATCCTGATCGTCATTACCGAGCACCATCAACACAAAAATCTTTTCATCTCGTATTCTGTTTAGCGACCGGACAAAGCAGAGGATTTAATGGCACTGTACCGCAATGTTGTCTGAAATTTGGCTCCGACTTCCAGCCGCCGGAATTCACGGTACGTACATACATAACTACCCTTATAACTCAATTTCCCTTCATTCGCACGTTTCTGTGGAAATAAAATATCCACTGTCTGCGCAGCATCCGGAGTGTTTACCAATATCAGTGAGCACGGAGGACAGTTTCTTCGGCCCTTTGGGCGTCAGATGTTTAGAATTCGTTCGGAGCGGTTCAGCGCCGAAAGAAAACTGCGAATTCGGCTCCAGGGAGCAATTATCTCAGGTGACGAGTTATCTGGATGCATCGACGGTATACAGCAGCAACGCATTTCAGAGCGACGCTCTCCGATTATTTCGAAATGGTAGGACTAATGTTACAAACATAATTTATAAAATATTCGTGAATTAATTTCAGAGCAGTAGCTCGCATTTCGTAATTACATTCGAAAGATATTTGTGATTATCATATTTATGATATATAGGTACAATTAATCAGTATCTTCTTGAAAGATTCACGATATCTCGAGACATTTTCAATTTTCATCGAATTTAGATTGAATTAAAATTTAATAAAGAAGCCTAGAAATTTTGTAATTTAAATTTGTTTGTTAATTACTTTCGTATATTTAATATTCTGAATTCTTCTGAAACTCATTAATTTGATAATTCAGTTTCTCGAAGTTTATTCGAATACAAATATAAAGGTGAGTTTATTCGAATCTCAGGGAAGTTGAATTTTAAAAATAAGTTATATTGCCCAAGAAATGTCATTTTTCCCAAACAACGTCGGGTCAACGTCGTATTACATTTTATTTAACTGTGTTACTAACTCCATGTCATTGTATATCCGCAGGTTTGTTACAATACGGAAAGATTGAAACGCAGAGGCCGGTGCTACCGAAACTGGATTCCGATCTCTGTAGACGCGGGTCATTGTCCACAAACTGCTTCAGAGCTGGAGATGGCCGGCTCGGCGAGCAACCTGCCCTCACGTCTCTTCACGTAGCTTTTTTGAGGCTCCACAATAGAATCGCGACGAAACTTGCCGCGTTGAATGCTCATTGGAGCGACGAGAAACTATTTCAAGAATCCCGGAGAATCGTCGCCGCTATTGTCCAGCACATCACCTACAGGGAGTTTCTGCCTATTGTTCTTGGTGAATTGAACGTTTAAATTGAGATCCAATTTGCTCGAACCCCCTCCGCCCCTCCTTTGGTTCTTCCGATTCCTCTGATATTAGCGCAACGATGATCAGCTAGTTTTATACATTGGGATATAATTTTTCTTTATGTTGATAGAAAAGTTCATAGTTTAAATATTTTGATAGATTTGCTAAATATAAGAGAATTTTGCAAAACTTACTATAGTAAATGTATATATTATATTTATATAGTAATATATATATTTTCGCAAAATTTACTATAGTAAATATATATATTATATTTATATAGTAATATTTGCAAAATTTAATATAGTAAATATATATATATATATATATATATATATATATATATTATACAGTTATATTTATATAATAATATATATATTTGAAAAATTTACTACAGTATATATATATATATTATATTTATAAAGTAATATTTATATTTGCAAAATTTAATATAGTAAATATAATAAATATATATATATATTATAGTTATATTTATATAATAATATATATATTTGAAAAATTTACTATAGTAAATATATATATTATATAGTAATATATATATTTGCAAAGTTTAATATAGTAAATATATTAAATATATATATATTTATATAATAATATATACATATATTTGCAAAATTTAATATAGTAAATATGTGTGTATATATATATATATTATACAGTTATATTTATATAATAATATATATATTTGCAAAATTTATTACAGCAAATACATATATATATTATATTTATATAGTAATATTTGTATTTGCAAAATTTAATATAGTAAATGTAATAAATATATATATATATTATAGTTTTATTTATATAATAATATATATATTTGAAATATTTACGATAGTAAATATATATATTATATTTATATAGTAATATATATATTTGCAAAGTTTAGTATAGTAAATATATTAAATATATATATATATATAATTATATAATAATATATACATATATTTGCAAAATTTAATATAGTAAATATAGTAATTATGTATATATATGTATTATACAGTTATATTTATATAATAATATATATTTGCAAAATTTACTACAGTAAATATATATATTATATTTATATATATTATATTTATATATATTATATTTATATAGTAATATTTATATTTGCAAAATTTAATATAGTAAATATAATAAATATATATATATATTATACAGTTATATTTATATAATAATATATACATATATTTACAAAATTTACTACAGTAAACATATATATTATGTTTATATAGTAATATTTATATTTGCAAAATTTAATTTAGTAAATATAGTAAATATATATATATATATTATACAGTTATATTTATATAATAATTATTTATATAATATATATATATTTGCAATATTTACTATAGTAATATAGTTTTATATAGTAATATGTATTATATAGTTATATTTATATATATATATTTTTTTTACAAACTTTACTGTAGTAGATATATATATATATATATATATATATATATATATATATATTAAATACTGCAGTATAGAGATAGTTAAACTCTAAAAAGAGGCATGCAAATACACATTCGAAATGTATAAAATTTCCAAGAGAAATTATGATTTGATTGTTTTTTTATTATTAGACTATTAATTGACCACTTGTTATCGAACTTATTTACTTATTATTATTATACTGATGTACTACTCTATGAAAAATAACGAAATTCAGCAATGCCAAGGGAAATAATATAATAATGAAGCAAACTAAAATTGAAATGTTCCAGGTCAGGATGTGATGAAAATATTCGGCCTTGAACTTTTGAAGAAAGGCTATTACGAGGGTTACGATCCAACAGTGGATCCAACCATCGCGAACGGATTTTCTACGGCTGCCTATCGCTTTGGTCACTCTTTGGTTCAACAGAGCTTCGTTCGGTTTACCAGCGATCATCAACCAATTTTCAATAGTCAGTACTCTACTTTAATAAGTAAGAATTCTAGAATGAACATTTTGGTCAGAACTGTTGAAAAATGACTGAGGAATTTCGGAATTAAGATTTAAAAAGTTTCTACTTTAAAAAGTCAGAAGTTTCTGCTGTGGAAATCAGAACGAAGTGAAATTAAGCTTGGAAAATTATCAAATAAACGAATTTCTACTTCTAATTAGTTAGAGCTTTAGCAAATCACGGATTATGATGTAAAAAATACAAAGAACTCTTTAGTATATAATACTTTATAGTAAGAAATACTTTAATAGTAAGAAATCTTGATCAATAGGAAGAGCTGTGAAGTATAAAATAAAATCTCATTGGTCAGAATCTTAATCATAATCATGGAATATTTTCAACATTTAGGATTTAAAATATTCCTAATTTAATAGTCGAAAATTACAAAACTATCACAGAAATAAAGTCTTAACCAACTAAACTTCTAATGTCATAAAATTTTCGAATTTAATAACTTTAATAAGTTAAAGACTTTAAAATTTTAAATACTTTCATAGTAAAAATTCTAAGCAATAACTTTAAATTCTTTTAATAGCTTTAATCGCAAAAATTTTAGAACTTTAATAGTAAAAATTCTAGTATTCTAGTTCTCAATTAGAAAATCCTAGAAAAAAATCTTAACGAGGTCGCTGAAATGTAAAATCTTGCAACTCATGCATTCACGAAACCCCCCCATCATTTTAAAAGCACCTTTTAAATTTTAAAAAACACCTTTACAGTCAGAATCCTAGAAAACGAAAAGTGCAAAGTAACGTCCCAGTCAGAATCTTAGAGAATCGTGGAACTTGAAACTTGAAGCTCTGAGAGAGAGAGAGAGAGCGACGAAGGGTGAAATAGAATACCAAAAAACCGCCTGAATTTCTTCTCTTCGTCTAGACGTCTCCATCCACAACGAGTTCACGAATCCAGCAAACTTGGAAACAGCAGGTTCAGTGGACCGTCTTATCCTGGGTCTGATCAACCAGCACGCCCAAAAAAGAGACGAGCACATAAGCGAAGAACTGACCAACCATCTTTTCCAAACGCCGTCGTTCCCCTTCGGAATGGACCTAGCATCCATCAACGTTCAACGAGGCAGAGACCACGGGATTCCACCGTACGTACGATGGAGGAAACCGTGCGCTCTGTCGCCGATAAAGGACTTCGACGATCTAGAGAGATCCATGCCGTCGTCCGCGGTAACGAAACTTCGATCGGTCTACTCGTCGGTCGAAGATATCGATTTGTTTACCGGTGGACTCGCGGAGAAGTCAGTGAGAGGTGGCCTGGTCGGTCCGACGTTTGCCTGCATAATTGGACAACAATTCAGCAACGTACGCCGTGGCGACAGATTTTGGTACGAGAACTTCCGCCAAGAAGGCAGCTTCACGCCTGGACAGCTCCAACAAATCAGAAGAGTCACTCTGGCTCAAGTGCTTTGCGCAACAATGGACAACGTCGAGACTCTTCAGCCGTTTGTGTTCCTCACGCACGACACTCTGAAGAATCAACGTGTGTCTTGCAACGATCCCGTCATCGGCCAGTTGGATTTACAATTCTGGGCAGAGAGATCGCCGGGATTCAAGAGGATAGGAATCTTCGACAAAATAAAGAAGAACACGTCAACTCCCGTCAATTCAAGCGCTAACAATTTGAATCCTCCAAAAACGAACGTCCACCAGCAAAACAGGATCGTCGTGAAGAAACCTCTCGGCCCTTCCGACAATATAACCATAATTGTTCAGAATAACGCCATTAATTCGCCTGTGTTTCTGAACGACGCTATCCACGGCTCTAGTATAATGGTGAATCCTTCGTTGAACCAACAAACTCAACAGACGGCTGTCCCAACCTTTCCTCCAATGAGACCTGTAATAGTAACGCATCCTTTGGGAGGTGGTCCAATGTTTAACAAGGATATTTATGTCCCGTATGCTTTCAGAGATCCGAACAATCCTAATCCTTTGAGCCAAGGATACAGATCAGGGTACGACAGCGACGTGGTGTTTGATAGTTTACCTGGATCGAGTCCACGGCCAACTTTGTACACTTATTACACCACATTCCAAAAGACGACCACTCGAAGGCCTCCTCAAGATGTGAACGCTTATATTGTCAATTATAAACCGCAGGGTCACGGATCTGATGTGAGTTTGCGGCCTGATTTACAACATCAGAGTCATCAAGCATCATTGAAACCTGTTTACGATTCGTTGGGGAATAACGACCAAGGAGATAGAATAAACATTTGGCAGAAAGTTCAATATCGGCCTGTAGTTTTGATTAATCAACAAGCTTCTAGTAACAAGCTCCACTTGCTGGGCTATAATTCAGAGAATTCACAGAATTACCAGTTAAACACTGAAGACAAATATGCTTCTAGTACTCGGCAAGATTATCCAAATAAGTATGGCAAACCTTCCAGTAATGGACAAGATTATCTAAACAGGTATGCAAAACCATCAAACGTGCAACAAGATTATCAGAAGGACTCTGAAAATAATTATGGCAGGCCTTCCAGTAACCAGCAAGTTTATCCAAGTGATTCTGCGAATAGACCCACCGCTTGGCCAAGCGTTTCTTTTGACCAACTGACAAATGATCAACATTATAGACCTCATCAAGAAGCAAATAGAGAGCCAACAGAGATTGATTATGGCCCGAGTTATCAAACTGAGTCTCCCATTAGACCTGCCACAAGCCTAAATAACAAAGGAAGCACCATCAATCCCAACACCGTGTACACAAGTTCCTCTGCAAGACCTGTTACGAGCGACGAGGAGTCTGACGGATCTCGTAACACAGTGTCTCACTCGACTCCTATTTACAGGCCCGCGCAGCAGATTAGCGATCATCTAGCGAGCAAGCCGGGGAATTTTTATCAAACTGTCAAGCCATCGAGGATCCACAGCGTGACAATTGTGACGGGATCGAGCGAAGGCGAACGTGACACCGACCGGATAGAGAATCGAGTTACCAGCGAGATTCCGAGACCGTTGGCTCACCAGGCAGGTAACAACAGAGTGAGGAAACCTGGTCAGTATTATTACGAAAAGAACGTGTTGCATCGGTATCCGGATATGGTGGAGGATCAGACGGGCTATAGCGTCGAACAGAGGCACAAAACAACGAGCAACGAGACGTTGATCGATGGAATCCTTAGCGAGACTTCCGTGAGGAATCACCAGGTTATCGATGGAAATCGGAACGATACAGACGTCGAGATAATGGATCACACGATAAATGAATCGTTCGATGGTGTAACAGGGGATGACGCGGCTGAAGACTCTGATGACACGTTGTCGGAAGAGATTGAAGCTATCTCCAGCAACGGGTAGATATGCTTTTTATTCTCTTTGCATAATTGTCTCGATTGTCTTCCTGGTATGTTGATATCTGCAATAGATAAAGTGTTTTCGAAATTCTCTCTATAGTCACCGTTTGATAAGATCTTTATCTCAGTCGATGTACACATGAGATAAATTATACTTTATTGTAAACGTAATCTCACAAGATTTCCTCATTTCTCTTCTTTCTTTTTTTTCTATTAATTTTGTTCAATCCTTTTTTCTCTTGATAAATATGGATATTGCGAAATTTGAAATTGAGTTTTTGAGATTTTCTAAAATATGAACAAGAAGTTTCTTTTTATTATAATTCAGTGGTGAATCTTTTTTCTCTGAGGTGACTTTTTTTCTTTGAGATAGTATAGTATTGTATACATATATATATTATAGTATAGCATTATATACATATATATACATAGTATAGTATTATAGTATAGTATAGTATTATATACATATATGTATAGTATATAGTATAGTATATATAGTGACGCAGTTAAATCATTATAATTTTTGTTTCTTGTTGGAAGAGTTTCATCCTTTAATAATTGAATAAGTGTGTATTATAATTTGAGGGTTTCACGTATTTTTAACATTTCCTGAGATATGAATAAAGATTCTTATAGCAAATAGAGTCATGAAAAAATTTTTGCGTGCTTTGACAATTTATAGCATTCTCAAGAAGAAATGTGTCTTCACTTTTCCACTCGCTACACAAAGTCATAAAAACATCTTGGAACAAAATGATTCATTTTGTAAATAGACGCTTCAATCTTTACAACGAGTATTCAGATTGTTTATTAAGTTATAATATAAAATGTCCGATTCCTAACGACAACTTTAAATAAACTTTAAATAAACATTACGTTTTTTAAATTTTTAAATTTATTATTTAAATAGGAAAAAGTTGTTCAGAATGATCTTGATATATTCCAATTATATTTTATTAAATTAATATATATTTTATTATTATTTTATTTTTCTAAAATAAAAAATTTGATATCTTCAATGATTTCTAGATTCGTAAACTGAAAAAATGTATAGTTTAAAGGTTTGAAGGAATTATAACGTTGGAATAATATATAGTATGTAAAAGAAACAGAAAAAAAGTCTACTTTTGAAGATGTATCTAAAATGTCTTTAAAAATCATGCTTATTGAGAAAAGTTGATATGTAAAACTTTTAAAGGAATTAAAATTCGTTCACAGCCTTGAATTTTACCTAGAAATATCGTAAACTGTTGAAACTTCTCATAGCCAGGGGCTTTAAAACGTGATTTACATTTCTTTTATGGTTTCAGAACGAGTTGGCTGAATCCACAAGAGGACAAAAGTCTACCATCAGTTCTGGAAATGCCAAAAATCCCATCAAACAAAATCACTGCCGCCAAGGAACTACCAAAACCCATAAAGCTCAGAAATTACGCCTTTTAACAATAAGTCCTCTCACTATCTCCATTTCTCGATATCAATGGCTCTTTCATTTCTACATCCGTCGTTCCATTTATTGTTAGTTTGTTACGTGATCCTCGCGAGTTAAAGAACGTGTAATTAACTTAATTTTAAAAGTAGATCGTTACTTATTTATTATTGCTTTAGAAAGATTTTTACCATGTAAAGAGAGTCACTTGTAGATGAGTAATTTAGCTCTTAATCATCGAGAGTGAACCTGTTTCATCTGTAATTTTCTCCTAGACCAGACTTTTATTCAAAATTTTGTTTTTTTACTATTTCTCCATCGAGAGCTTATAATTTTGTGTAGTTCAAAAAAATTGAAATACAGTAGACTTGTTACATGAGAATTTTTAATTTTCTATATTTCATCAAATAGGATAGTTTTTTTTTTTTTTTTTTAAATAGCATATATGTATATGTAGAAAAGTCTTTTTTTATACCGTGGAAATTTAAGTTTTATTTTTTAATTAAGCAGAAATTTTTAAAGTTAAACAACTGAGAAATGTATCAGGGTATCCTGATCACCTATGTATTTACAGTGCAATTTGAAAATGGGTCGATGAAACTTTCAAGTGGCAAGTTAACGACGAGCGAGTATTGCACAATGATTGCATGTGCTTAGAACATTTCTGAAGGTTCGGATGGAATGTAGCCTAGTTTTATGCCAATTTTAAACCGTCTCACCGTCTGGAACTACTCCGGACTATTTTCAGATGCAGTCCCCGTGTCACTGCAGTTCATACGACGCCTGTCTACACCAGTAATTTTAATTACTCCTTTAGCAAAACCTCTGTGTGTTTCGTTCTGACGATCCGTCCTTAAGAGTATCTTTAAGCATTCTCTTCGACTAGCGAGTACCGGTCAATGGCCCTGTGGTTTCCCAATTAACACCGAAATAGAAATTATAGCGTCGACTTAACAAGCGAGTTGAAAAATATTTTGGTTCGTCTTCTTCTTCTTTTTTTTTTTTATTTTTAATCGTTTATTTAAAACTCGTTTGTACATGAAGATTATTAAATATGATGGCAATGTTGTTGTTTCTGTTTTGAATTGATACTCACTGGAATTAAGAAGATTTGGTCATATACTGATTAAAATGTGTAACAATTTCAGTAGAATTGACGTTATTCCTTTTTTTTTTCACTCGAGTTAAGAAATTTGTGAAATTTGAGTTAAAAAAACTTGGATATTTTTAATTTTGATATTAATTAAATTATACAAGTGGTAGAAATTTTTGAAATGTGCAAATAGCGTTGTTCCCTTTAATTTGCATTGCAGACAGTTATTAGGACAACAAGATTTGTTAAGAATTTCGACATAAATTTATGTTTAATTTATCAATCCTTTTAAAAATTTTTGATGCACTACTTTGAAATGTGCAAATGGTTTTCGTGGAATTATCATCATTTTTAAAAAAAAAGTTTTTGAAATAATACAGTTTTAGTTTTGGTTAAAATGCAAGTTGTTCTTCAAGTTATTTTCTCTATTGAAACTAAAAGAATGGTCAAAATAATGGATTTAGATTTTTGGTTTCTAATATATTATTTAAAATGTGCAAATGATTTTAGTAAAAATTTTTGATGAATCGTGCAGTTGAAAATGTGCAAATTATAGTGGAATTAGTACCATCTTTTTCAGTGTAAATTAACAATTACTAAAACTGCGAAATTAATTCAAACAATGAGTTTAAAACACTTTAATTTCAGTTTAATCAAATCGATTGAGCTATGCCAGCAATCTTGGCAGAAATTCAACTTTGAATTGATCAAAGTAACTAACTAGTTACGAAACTCGTTGAAACGATTTTGTTTCTTGATACGAGTGAAAACATGAAAAGGCTTTTAATAAAATGTCATCTTTTGATGAGACACAAGTATGATGACATATAATAGATTGTCCTGGCTAATCATTATAGATATTAATGGCACGATTTAATTTTTTTTTTCAGATAATTGAACGATCTTGTTCTTAGCATGATTAAAAAAAATCAAAAAAATATTAATATTAAACAGAAGACTTTATAGTTTCTTTCAGTTTCTATCCATGTTTCCCAATCATTCTAATCAGAAATTATCATTATTCAAAGAGTCGACCTATTAAATCACGTTCTGATAATCAAAGTTTTACTGCAGTTATTTTCATCTTATTGTTAATTGCAATGTCATATCTCGGTTCTAATCTCTGATCATTTATATAGAATTATATTTATAGACTCACCATTATCCATGTATATTTAGATATAAATTGTAAATCTTAGGTGAAAATGTTTTCTACGAATGTGGAGAAATTTTGCAGCTGCAGATTAGAGAAAGAAATTCTAAGAAACTGAAATATTATCATAATAATAATTCTAATCTTCTATATGCATGTAATAGCTAGAAATTTACCATTGTGTGTGTTATATATATTTAGATTGAAATATTATAATATACTAGAAACAAAATACGAATCTAACTAGTTAAATGTAATTCATTTTCTGCAAATATGGAGAAATTTCATAATTGATGATACCAGAGAAAGAAATTTTAGAAAACTATGTTATCATATTTTCTAATTCTAATCATCTATGTGCAATAATATTGATATATATTTAGACACAAATTACAGATCTAGCTGATTAACAGTGTTCTGCGTATATGAAAACATTTTGTAGCTACCTAGAATTAATTTGAGAAAGAAATTTTGGTAAGCTATTCTAATGAAAATAAAGCTCGCTGGCTAAATTACTCGAAGAAAAGGCTTGATGTTTCGTATCTCGAAGAAAATTCAGTCTTCAACGTGCCATTAAACGAAACGTCGAAGACTACTTTTGTGGCTATTCAACTTGTAAGCTCCTCTTGGAAAGTTCTTACCTTGATCAGCCCTGTACTTGTGGCCATAAATTTCCTTGGAAAATACATTCCGTGTCTTTGTTCAATCTTACCAAAGTGCAAAGTTAAATTTTTCATATAAATATGAAAAAAAAAAATCAATAATGAAAGTTTTCGAAGCAAAAGTCAACACTGCTTATGACAATATTTTGAGAAAGAATAAATTGTCAAAAGAATTTAAATTTTAAGAAAAGAATTTCAGTGTTTTCGACTGTCAAAGAATTTAAACTGTTACAAAATTCTAAATTTCAAATTTCTAACTCTAAATTCTAATTTTCGTAAGATTAAAAAATTCTAAATTCCTATTCCTGAAAAAATTAAATATTTCAGATATTTCAATGCGCGCAGAATTGCATTGAAATTTGAAATATTTAACTAACTTAAAATGTTTAATCTTACGGAAATTAAAATTTCGATTACATTTTGGAATTTGCAATTTACAATTAAACATTTTAAATTAGTGAATTTGGAATCCAAATTTCTCCAAGGTTCCTAATTTTTACTTTCATAGAATTAAACATCCTAAATGTCATAGATAGACAAAAATTTTATCCTCCTTTCAATAAAAGAAAATAATATCTGCAAGAAATTGTCTGTCACGAGCACAGTGGCGATTCTGATTACCGTGGCGGAAAAGCAGATGCTCGGTCTGAAGTCTAGGCAGCGGTTTTCGGGTCACCAGAGAACAGAGGCGAACACAGCCGATCGAAATGCAGTTTTCGATGTCACGACCTGGATCCGATGTTTCTGCGGTTTGCTACGTGTTAACCGAGCTCGAGAAACGATGATGAGAAACGATGAAACTTCGGGATTTTGGCCAAACCAGTTCATGCAGTCGTTCGTGCAGCATTTTATTGCGACACCGTTGCATGCCGTACAATAAAAAAAGTCATCGTTTATACTTGGCGACAATAAAAAGAACGTCGTAAAAATTGAACGAACATTTCCGGCAATCGTTTAACGCGACGAACGGCTTGCTCAACAGCAGCTGTTATTGGGCTCGATTTGCCAATTCCATCAGACTTTCTTCTTAATTACAGAGAATGACCTTTCCTTTTCTTTCTTTGGTTATTCAATAAAACTAGTCTACAAAAGTGGATCTCTTCGTGAAAGCTTGGTATGGGTTGGTACGAACAACCAATTGCAGCTGCAACCATTTCCAACAATCTCGGATTCTTTAACATCTTATGGGAAATCCTCTTCTCAAGTGAATTCAGAACGTGAAATTCCGGTTTTAAATATAGGTTGCATGCCGATCATTTCAATCCTTAAACGGACCGTCGAGGCTGTTGCAGACTCATCTAATTTTGTATTATGTTTTGATGTAATTATTTAAATTCTCTATCGTCTGATTATATTTCTAATTCAGCAAAGGAAGATCTATTTCTATAATATAAATTAAGCATAAAGTCCAACTATTAAACTAAAATTTGAAATCTACTTGGTGGTTGAATATTGATCATGGAGAGAAGCTAATTTAAAAATTAAATGGAATTAAGGAAACTTGAAAATGACGGATATACCGGCGATCTTTATCAGAGATACGAAATTAAATTCCACGACTAACACTTCCATGACACTTAACTGGTTTACGATCGATTAAACTACCTACACAGAAATTCGAGAAGCTTATCGTGACATTAATTAATTATCGATGACAAACTTTGATAAGATTTGACGAACTTGAAAAAGAATTAAAACAGATTGAATATTTATTAAAATATGAAGAATTTTATCAACTCTTTTTGTTTATGAGACTGAATTAGCAAGAATTATGTAATATTTATTTTACATCATAAAACACGTATTTCAAAACGTTGGAATAAAAGAAAATAATTTAACAAAGTTAATAAAGTTGGAGAATTTTTTTGAAAATCAGTGTGAAGTCGAATTTTTACGAATACGACGTTGAAAATAAATAAATTGCTTTGGAAACAGAGAGTTGACGCAAGAATCTTCTAAGAAAAGATCTTCTAGAAAGTTACATTAAGTCAATTAAATGACGTAAGAAACACACTGCATCTTTCATCACGATTCCCACGTTAATTTGCCGGTTGCTTCTCCTTTTGTCCCTATAATTACCGCAGGAAAACAATCTTGCTATCATGCCCGTGACACCGTGATTAATTAAAACGTAATCTTTCGCGCTTCAGGAACAAGGACACGCGTTTCAAACTGGCGGGAAAAATCACGCCTCCTGATTGATCCATTCGCCAGGCTCTTACGCTTCAACCAATCGCGTGACACCGCGAAAATCAACCTCCGCAATCACTGAAAACATTCCCACAACATTACCTCATCTTGTTTCATCGCGTGAAAACGCTCAACCAAGATTCGCTGAACTGCACGTAACGTCATATAAATAAAAAAAACGCCAAATTAAGTCACCAATTTCGTAAAACATTGCTCTCTTTTTTTCCAACGGTAGAACACGGGAACAAGCGGACCAGGAACACCAAAATTTAATTTCTCATTGCAGCAAGAATGACATGAAACACTATTCGTCACGCACGGTTGCTGCGCGTGTAATTTTTGCATAAAAAGAAGAATGTAACGCAAAGCTATCGATCGAAAAATGCAACGGTGATAAAGAAAACGTGCGATGACGGGTTCGTTGAACGATAGGAACGAGCGGACCCGAACCGAGCACGACGCTTCGACCCGAGCGTGGAAACGAGGGAGTGGGGGGGACGGTTCGGTTCCGCGTGCCTGCGAGACGAGCCGAGGCATCAGTTTGTTGCGACGCGTCACCGGCGCAAGTCGCTGTCATGATTTTCGTTCCGATCGGTGGTTCTCGGCCGAACGCCGTGGTGCATCATGGACTCGCGGTCCTCTGTCTGCTCATTGTTCTTCTTCTGGTGTCGTGTCCAGTTAACTGCCAGGAGACGCTGACCAATCGGATGCGCGTGATCAGCGAGGATCTGGACCGGCAGCTGAACGGGATCATGGCATCGCAGGGTCTCAACTACACGACGGTGAACACGACCGGGCTGCGCTACAACGCCACCACGTATTTCAACCCCAAGGGCATGGGCCAGCTGTACAACGTGACCAACATGTTCATCGACTTCGTGCAGAGCAAGCAGGCCTATCCCGATGGTGAGTGACAACTGTTGTTCGGCGAATATTTGTTACGACTGGGAACGCATGCTTTTAGAGGTTATAGGGATAGGGACACAGGTTTTACGCGGCTTTGGTTACGCCCTGTATCGCGCGCTCGAAAATGGCCGGCTACTTGTTAGTAAACAGACCGCTGTCAAAGAAATATTCGAACCCCGTCCGCGTGAAATAAAATGTCCATCCTTCGAGTTTATTGAGGCTCGCACACTTGATAATTATAAGCTCTCGATGGATATCGTGTTATGGATTATGTTACTGATTGCTGGAAAGAATTGCAAGTTTATTTCACTCTTTCATAACTGTGAAGTCGCTCGTTTTCTAAACTGTTTTCCTTCTTTTTTTTTGCAACCTAACGTTAATACAGACAGATTTGTTTCGTGTAATTGGATTTGTATCTTTGAATGATTGAACAGATACCCATAATGTAAATAAAAAAAATGGATTCTAAGTACTAATTGTTTACTTTGTCAAATATTTCGTATACATTTTTGCTTTCTCGTTTTGCCAAAAGTTTATGGTTCCAGTTAATCAGAAAAATGTCGAAAAGTGAAATGAACATGTAATTCTATCGTGCAGTATAAAACGCGTAATCACTATGCATTTGTATTTGGTTTCTTTTGGAAAGATACGAGAGCACTCCGAAAAAGAAGGACTATATGTTGTTACGAGAGATTACAAAAGAGAAACATCCTACGGTATTCTGTTATCAGTAAGCCCATTCATTGTAGTTATATTTATCACCAAAGTATTCTATGAATGCATTAGTTGCACGTCTAACCGAAGGTAGTTCGCCTATAAAAAGTGAAAGGAATACGACCAAATCGTTTTTCACGGTCAGACGTGAGTTTCTATTATTCTCTGTATTATCCCAAAATCGTGGGTTCTCTGAAATATCGATAGTCGATATTCTGTGTGTTATTATTTCTTGCGATTTATTATGTCCTTCTGCAAAACGAATATATAGCAATATTTATCACAACTATATATAAAATTGAAAATTTAGTATCTGAATTTATCAGAGTAACTATGTGTGAGACAGTATATATATAAAAATGGCGCTTAGAAAATGTAGGGGATTAAATTAGATCATCTAATTAGATAATTATCGTTATCCGTTTAATGCGTTTATTATTATTTGTCTATAAGAACGTCAATTTTCCTGATAACAGTCATAAAGACATAGATTTATAGAGTATAATTAGATATTGAAGACGTCGATAACATCGAATGTTCAAAGCAATGTTTCTTGGTCTAAAACATGGGTATACACTTTAATTTTGAAAACTGAAGGACTAATGGAAGATTGGTTTTCTAGTTCTTATCTTTAGCGAGATTAAGTATCAGTAAATTCAATTTCAATTTTAGGAATGTATTTCTGCAATTTAGAAAGCATTATAATAACAATAATGTCGAGTTTTTTAATTTTCAACTCTTAATTCATGATGTAATAATAATAAATAATATATTATTATTACAATCTATATATACTATATATTATATATAATATTATTGTAGTCTATAATATATATTATAATGTACACAATATAATATAAAATATTATAGTATATAATATATGTTATAATATACACAATATAATATAAAATATAGTATATGTTAAAATATATAAATAAAATATAATATATGTTAAAATATACACAATATATTATATTATTATAGTATATAAAATATATTATAATATACACAATATAATATAAAATATTATAATACATAATATATATTATAATATACACATGTATATATTATAACAGTAATGTCAATTAAAAGAAATAATAGAATAGAATTAATTTCAAATCCAAGATTGTACATCTATGTATAGTATATAATAAGATTTTCAAATAGTTTACAATGTTTGTTAAGGAATATTATTATTACAATATACACATAATTTATGATATATAACATGCTCTAGTAAACATATTTATATTATTTATTACTGTTACAATATAACATTGATCGAGTTTTGAGAAAAAATATTCGAAGACTTTAGATTAATATCCAATGCCATATATACAGACGTAATTTTGAATTTCACATACTTGAAAAATCGCAACGCAATACGCTCGTTAACGCAACAGTTTCTCCCTCGATTTTCATCACGGCGATGTTAATCTTTTTCCCCTGTTTCCCCTCGATTGATTGCGAATTGCGAAAAATCGATTTCTGTTTCTTTTTTTTTTTTTTTTTTTTTTTGTTCACGATTTATCGGTGGATATTTCCACCAATTCCCACGCGAAACGAACACGGCGCTCGATCGTTAGAAAAAAAAAGGCGATGATAACTTGCTGAACTATCCGGATCAATGACCCTTTCGACGCGTTTAACATAGTAGGAACAGGGTCCGCGCGTCTATATCAATTCTAGCAGGAAGTTGATAGCGAGAGCGTTCGTCATCGTCCAACAGACCTGACAATCGTGTCGTCTGCCATACTCGTTTCACCTCTTTCCTTCCGTCCGTCTCTTCTTTGCCAATGTGTTATTTCGTCTCACTCTTTCTCTCTCGCTTCTTTCTTTCTCCATCCTTCCTGGCCATCGTTCTTCATCCAATTCGGAAGAGCATTGACAATGAAAGAGGCCTGTCGATGATCTGTTTATTTGCCAGCGGCCTCAGTGGCTCTCAATCAGTGCTCCATTTGGCTGAGAGGAGCCAAAAGGGGCGCGTATCGATTAACGCGGCTCGCGGTTCGCTGAAAAGCCCCGCGTTCTCCCCGGTGGAAATTTTCAAAATTTTCGAAAGTTCACTTGAACATTAGTTGCGAATTGTTTCAGGCTTCTCCAGAAGATTGCGAATTGGTCGCACTTTAGTAATTCTTAAGGGGGCAGCGTGAAATTACGAGCCTAGAAATTACGTATACGTTTGGAGGGCCAGTTAAAAAAAAACCTACATATTTGAGTGACATGAGCTTTTACGCATTGTGAACTATAAAAAGCAACATTAAAAAAGAAAAGAAGAGGGCTTTTCTTTAGCTTTTTAACGGCATTCTTTTACATAACTTTTTCTTACATTGCCTACACGGTGTGCATGATTCCAGCCAAACAGGATTAGTTGCAACGAAAAGGCCTGAAAAGTTGAAAAGTAAACAATATTCTCTGGGGATTGACGATCCAAGATTTTCATTTCTGTGAAAATTATGAAAATAGCAGCCATTTTTGTTTTTGATGTATCGAATTTATGCCAAAAATTTCTACGTTTTTTTGTTTATATTTTTCGAAATTGTTAAAAATTAAGAAATGTTCGATCGTGAATCCCTAGTAAGTGTTATACTAAAGATACGTACCAAGTTTCACGGTAATCGGTTGGTTAGATTCCGAGATATCTTGCACACCGTTTCTGGAAATCTAGTTTCGAGAAAAACACATTCAAAGTTTCAGAACGTCATTTTTTATGTCTCCTTTACTTACTTTTTTTCACTTATATATCGCGGCTCACAGTTCTTACAATTCACAACTAAATTGAATCCAAGTTCCTCAATATTCGATTCATCAAAAGTAATATTCGAATCACACGATTTTACACTTTATAATACTGTTTAAAGTTGTAAACAGTGATAGAAATTCAATTATTCTGTATCCGCGAATTTATTATTACACGCCAAAATAAGTCGTTTTTAAAGGCTAGAATCTTTTGTATCTTATTTCTAAGACTTCAAACTACTATTTAAACCAAAAAAAGAAAAATCGATTTTTTGAAAATTTCACACTGTCCTGATCCCTTAAATTAACAGTACCGATGATAAATATAAATATATAAAATATAGAACTATAAATATAAATATATTTTATAGAACTATAAATAATTATATATAAATATATAAATATAGAACTACAAATATATATAAATATATGAATATAGAACTATGATTGTATATAAATATATAAATATAGAACTATAAATATATATAAGAACTATAATTATATACAAATATATAAATATAGAACTATAAATATATATATAAATATATAAATATAGAACTATAAATATATATAAGAACTATAATTATATACAAATATATAAATATAGAAATATAAATATATATAAATATATAAATATAGAACTATAATTATATATAAATATTTAAATATGGAACTATAAATATATATATTTTATAATATAATTTTAATATTAACTACCAACGAGTAAAACATATAAAATATAAAACTGTCGTAACTCCAAAATAATTGTATAAATGTACATGTTAATAATAGATAGAGTGATACTATCTTATCTGTTTATCAATATACAAAGGGTTCAGAACTAGTGTAAGTCACTTTTCATTAGAAAGAATTTACGCTGTGCAAATATCGTCTCCCCCTTATCAAAATCTCCAGCTGATGGAAAAGTTTAGTCATGGTGATTTAATCATTACAGTATTATTACTAAACTGTTTCGTTGACTATTCCTTTTTGACAATGAAAGTATATTTGTACATTTATTGACACAAGTTTTAATAAAAAAACTGACTTCCACCTTATGTGGATATCCTTAACATTATATTATGTAATATATATTAAGGATATTAATTATATCCTTATATAATTATAATAGATAAGAATTCTTAATATTTATTAAAGATATATAATAATATTCTTAATATCAATATTAATATTTATATTAATATACTAATAATATCTGATATAAATTTTCTTACCAAAGAATTTCCTAACACGAGGGCATTTTAATCTGAAATTGTTTAAAATTCCTGTGTCCTATGAATCACGTATTGATTTCCACTATCATTGTTTATCAACATTACAAGCGCGTACAAACGTAGGTACGTGTCCCTTAATATTATATTATATAATATATTAAGAACATTAATCCTTAATATTGTATTATGTAATATATATTAAGAATATTAATCCTTAATATTATATTATGTAATATATATTAAGAATATTAATCCTTAATATTATATTATGTAATATATATTAAGAATATTAATCCTTAATATTATATTATGTAATATATATTAAGAATATTAATCCTTAATATTATATTATGTAATATATATTAAGAATATTAATCCTTAATATTATATTATATAATTAAGAATATTAATATAATGTTATATATATTAAGAATATTAATTATATCCTTATATAATTATAATAGATAAGAATCCTTAATATTTATTAAGGATATATAATAATATTCTTAATATTATATTAATATTAATATACTGATAATATCTGATGTAAATTTTCTTACCAAAGAATTTCCTAACACGAGGGCATTTTAATCTGAAATTGTTTAAAATTCCTGTGTCCTATGAATCACGTATTGATTTCCACTATCATTGTTT